CAGCGGTTAGGACTCTCACCGACCATGCACATGGCCCGAGTTTCGATCCCCGCCGACGCACACTTGATATCTTTAGCTGGCCTGCTAAATTTGGGCTACCGATATCACATGCTGAAAATTTCATACTTGTACCAATATACTGTGTGGAATCAAGCTATAATAAAATGAAAAAATTTTCAAAACATTTGCTGGCTGATTTTCAACTGGTTAACGTTTGTTTATTTCAGCATACTAAGTGATCCGCATCTGTATTTTCGTAATTTTTCCAGTGTTACTCTAGATAAATTCCAGTTAGAGATATTATGACTGAGTCGTAAATTTTACGACCAAGGGTACAAGATCAACCAATTCGATACCAATATCCAGTCTTAAAATTTGTTTCTACGAATAAATGAACTGATCCCATCCCGAGACAAGAAACTCGATAAGTTACAAACTATACCAGTTGAGAGCTGTCAGGAAGTATAGGAACAGTAACTATTCTAGCAAAAGCTTACTGACTATACAACATCCGAGGTTGCAGTGATGAATAAATCTCAGTATGTTGGTTGACAAGATAAATCGGCTTCCAGACGATAAAATGGAATTTCAACAGCTTAACAACGTAACAGACTTAGATTGAAACGCTGGAAAGCAGCTAAAAAACACATTTAAGGAACGGAGGAAAAGTGGAGTAATCTCTGAGGCAGCCCAAAACATATTGGTTAGCCTAAAGTATATAAACCAGGAATTACTTTAGCCCAGTTATATAAATGTCTAATTTTAATGGAGGCTAGATGGACTCCTGTAAATGTTTTACAAAAAGGCGGTAAGTCACAGTGTTAAAGATACCTTTGAATTCATTTCTAATTTACACAGTGTAAGGGTAAATTAGAGGCTTTCATCATTGGATGTCGCTTCACTATTTACAAATGTACCACTTATGGAGACTGTGGGATGCTTATGTCAACAAATACTAGAAAATACTTCAATATCGGAACTACATTTATCAGCCTCAGAGAGCTGTTTCTAAGATTTACTGTGAATGTGCACCTGTTATTGAACGACTTTTAATACTGAGAGATGAACCGGACCAACATGGGTTCCCATTACGTTCAATTTCTTCCTGGCTAAGCTGGAAAGTGTTCCATTAAAAAAGCAACAGATGAAATGAATTCTTATTCATTTTGATGGCACATCCGTTACTCTTGTTGAGCAAGCCGACAGGAATGAAGTGCTTGCTAAGTCTATTGATGCACACCCATCGTTCATCTTTACTTCTGGAGAAGAACATGATGGTAGATTACAGTTCCTTGATATCCAACCAAGGAGAAGGGAGGAAGGCCCCCTCAAGGGAGATGTCTATAGAAAAACTACATCCATATGACAACAGTTAACACATTTCTTCAATTTCGTAACCAAGCAGTACCAAATGAATTTGGTAGCATGCTTCACGAATAGTGCAAGAAGGATTCGTACTAATGCCTCCCTAGAAAATGAATTGGAATACATCCCAAATGCGCTGGTCCGAATGGGTTGTCCTAGGAGATTTGTGTGTCTAGCAAACACGGTGTAGAAGATATAACTATTTCTGAAGCTGAAAGTCGATGAGGACGTGGCTAATGAAATCCTACACCAAAGACTATCTAGAACCATAAAAACGGACTTATATTGGCTCGATCCTTTGTTTGTTACTTTCCAGCCATTCAGTTACGAAGGATAAGCTGCCTAGATGCGCCACTTCTATCCCCTATGTGCACTTATAACTTTAGCTGCTTCTGTGCAGAAAGTTATTTAGGGCGAACAACTAGACAGCTCAGCGAACGCTTCACGTCTTCATGGTTGAAAAAAGGCCAAACAAAATTCATAGGAGTCTCTACTTTGTCTCATTTGATTAATAGCGGTAGCCAAGTGAACAAACGAAGTGCCTTGAAAGCTATCCATAGCATTCCACCGAGCATTTCCAACAGAATTCAAACCCGCTGCTTCACATAGCTAAAGCGATGGGAATTCGAGAGAACAATCCTAGTCTCTGCATAAAAAAGAAGTTTGTTTTATCTTTGTCTCTTCCCCTGACCTGGGCGAATTTTAATTTAAAAACTTCCCCCACCCATCTTTCTTATTCCTCATTTCTTTTACACTTTACTTAATCTCTGATTATCTGTCCACTTCATCTTTGGTATTGCGAACAGCTCTCCAGTACTCGCAGGATTTTCAGTGGTTCTCTAACTGATGTCAGTTCATGATGAAATCCTCCATCCAATCAAACTAAATCCCTACTAAACCAATACTTGAAAATTAATTTTGCTTTATTGAGTTGCTTTCATAATTATACTACCTTCATTATTCTTATCGCTATCTACATCAACTCCTTGTACTTTTTTTTATCATAGAACTTACTACCGTTATATTAGCTATTATTCGTCTTCGTTATTACTGACATTCAACACTTGTTGTTTTTGGTCCACAAACTCATGTACATTAGTGTAAAGGCTGAAGAGGATCTAACTGAAAGCAGGATTGTTCACTAAATTGTCTTGATTTTATTTTAACAATAGAAGTTTTTTTTTCTTTCACGTTCCCAGTGGATCATTGGCTTCAAGCTAGTGGCTTGAAGTTTCTGTAGCAGTGTTTATTTTTACAGGATGGGGTTGCTAGCCTCATGCCCAACCTTTCCTCTTTCCCAGCATTATTTCTGGCTTAGCGAGGTTAAGGAGTGCGCCGGCAGGGGATCGAACCCCGGACCATGTTCACAGTCAGCGAGCGTCCTAACTGCTGTGCCACCGACGCATAACAATAGAAGTATTTTACCTAAAATATTAGGCTTTATTTCTATGTTATCAAAATGACGCCTCACAAAATGATCTGTTAGAAGTCCCATTAAAATGATGTCTGTTGTAAAATGATCCCAGTTTCAAGGAAACTTCTTTCCACTGACTTCAGGCTCCGGAGTAAACTACAGGTATTTGGATGATCACCTGTTTAATCAACTCACAGTATTTTTGAAAACATTATTATCTAAGCAAAAGTATTTCCTAAGATATCCATTCACTGAGACATACGTCAACTGTCAAGTGCTGGTTTGGAGGGATTGGGTTGATTAGTTAGAGAAAAATTAGAAAACCTCGGAGTGCTGGACACCTGTTTCATCCTATTTAGGGGGTCCTCATCGATAAACACACACCGACAGGGTTCAAACCCAGGACGTTCCAGTTACGAGGTTAGTCCGTAGACTGTTGGGGCACTGGGACCCGACGCAATCGTCCATAAATTCCAATTTATGCCATCGGGTCGATTGAGCTTGCCTCGTAACTGGGAGGTCCTTGTTTCGAACGCTGGTGGATGTGTACTGACGAAGAGTTTCAAATTAGGACGAAATAGCTGTCCACTACATCCTGCTGGTTTTCCAGTGGTTCTTTGACTGATGTCAGGTCATGATCGCTCCTCTGTACCTAGATGTCTCTTGCTAAATAAGCTCTCTATGACAAAAATTGAGTCCTGGGTCACTAACTGGCTGCACTCCTACTTCTCGAACAGAAAGCAGTACACCGTATACAAAGGTAAATCCTCCTCTGCTGCGCTCACTGAAGCTGGTGTCCCCCAAGGTGCTGTACTCTCCCCACTTCTCTTTTCTTTCTTTCTACATGACTTACCATCTTCAAATGACATTAATTTTGTCAAATATGCTGACGACTTGACAGTATCTTTGCCTGTCAAATGTCAAAGCGACTGCTCTAAACTTAATGGCTTTCTGTCAGAAATCAGCCAGTGGTCCAAGGAAAACGGTCTTACCTTAAACCCCTCCAAATGCCAAACAGTCAATTTCACCTTTAGGCATAAATCCGACCTAAACAAACTGGTTGGCTCTCACGAGGTATGCAACATAGATGCCTCTGAAATAGAAACCAAGTCGGAAATTAAATACCTAGGCGTCATTCTATCTGCTGATCTCTCCTGGTCGTCTCATATCTTGGCGATTTCTAAGAAAATATTCCGTCTTACCTTCTACATCAAGAAGTTAAGACATTCTGGTGTAACCCAACCCTTACTCCTACAATTCGTTAACTCTCGCATTCTGCCTATTATTCTCTATTGTTCCCCCTTAGTTTTTCCAGGGCTACTGAAGAAAGACTTTAACATATTACGCAGAATGTTAAAGGTTGTCAGCAGAGTAAGCAACGTGCCACTTAACCAGCTTGTTAATATTCTGGTTGACAGGCACATGGACTCATGTGAAAAATGGGCTAAATCCATTCTATCTAACTCACACCACCCTCTTCACTCACAACTCTCCCCTTGCATCTCATCAGGCAAAACCAGAAGCCTATATAGAAAACTATATGCTCGCACCAGCAAGTACAAAAACTCAACCATACCCTACTTAGCTCGTGTTCTGTGTGATAAAGAAAGCATTAGGCGTGACACCTATAACTCATTAAATAGTCAGTAGTACAACTGGACCTCGTCTTTCCAACTCATATCATTTATAGGTACAACATTTTCTTTCTTTCTTTTCCTTTTCTCTCTCTTTTTCTCTTTTTTTCCTGTTATGTGCTGCTTTGTTTCTTTCTTCCGCTTACGCCAGTAAATATGATAGCACCTACTTTTCTAACACCTTCAAACCCTGTTCAACTTTGGCTTTGCTACCGACATGCCAATGTGTTGTTGTAATAATGAACTGAGATTTCCTTAATATATGTAGAATTCTATTTTTATTGATAATGTACTAATTGGATGCAATACTGTGGTAAAAATGCTGAGAATTCCATTCTGTATCACAAGTACTGTTTTGGAATAAAGCAAATTATTATTATTATCAAATACGTCAAATAAATATCTATTTGCACACAATTATACTGTAAACTGTCTTATGTTAAATAAGAATATATTTATTTAAAAATATATACGCGCATATTTAAGTACTACAATTAACACAATGTGTGAACAGTTTAACTTGACAGCACAAGATCACAAACTGTGAAAAAACACAATCTCTTAAGAGATTGTATAGATCGACATGAGTATCCAAAAAAAAAAGAAACACAATGACAACCGATGACGATTCGCAGTAATAAGGTATCTCATTCTCCTTCAGCTTCTCCATGGACATTCATCCTAAAAATGTTTAATTATAAAAATGATTAAATATCATATCTTATGTGGCATGAGAAAACATGATTACTTTACGAATAATAAGTAAATATTGTGCAAAATTCGCTCTCCAGAGGGCAGTCTATGTAATATAAGGATAACGTAGGCGACGGGGAAGAGATTCTTAATGTAGCCAACAAATGCATCAGTTTTGTCTGTCTGCATACAAACTAACAGTCTTAAAGGGTCTTCTACCGAATTTTTCTTCTTTGTCAGACAAATCACTATTCGGGAATCGATCACAGAAAGCAAAAGAAACAGTCTTCTGTGTACAGCAACCCCGTAACACGCACGCTGCACTCTAGTACAAAAGTAAGATCAAGGACACTGGGTCTAGTGGTATGATTGCATGTCAGTTTTACTAGACTCTTCAGTCTTATTGAAGAGATGTTGGAAAGTTGAGAAGAAATATTTCATCACAGGAAATAAATACTATTTTGTTATCATAATTGTGAAAAAAAGGGTTGGTGATGGCCATTCGAAGATATAGGATGTTTCGCATCTCGCATTCAATGTGCAATTAGCATATACTTCTCAGTGAGTGATCTTTCTTTGGCATCAATATCTGAATCTCATACAACTAGTTACTTTTATTAGTTTGAAAAAATAGAGAATGAACATTTTTGTAGGATACCACGTGGTCGTTTTATTTCTTCAATTCTTTTCAGCTACTTACACCGTAAACATCATCAAAATATAAGTTACAAAGTTTTTAAATATATTTCATTCAAAGTGCCATTGAGTCATGAATAGGAAGTATACGACCGAAACCCGAAACAGTTGAAAAGTAACCATTTTTCATCTGCTTGGCGTACAAAGTGGAAGAACCAACATTTTAATCAAGAATGTTTTGAAAAGAAAATTCTCCGTAAACAGACTGATTCTACTTTAAAACACAGTAGGCTCAGTCAAGCATAGAAAAGTTCCCATCTCATGTCAACTCCAACTGCATTTACCAATTTACGTTCACTTACAGGAGCAAGTACATAGAAAGCACTGACACAAAAGCGTCTACTAGATTCTCTGAGAATATGCCTAAATGTCTTCGTATGAAAGGCAACTAAATTTTCTCAACTGCAATCACCAGACAACCAATCGGCACGCCACACACTGTGGAAATTAGTCAGACTTTCAAAATAATCAATACACATAGAAAACCATAGTTACTTCGGTTGTGAGATGCCATCCCTAGCAAAAGACTTCCACACGATGTCAGTATACACAAAGATAGCCTGACTAATCTGTCACTACACTGACAACTGTAATTGATTTGTTCGTTTGCTCTCGTGTTTTGCTCTCTTTCCTAACATCCAACTTAATTTCGCCTTAGATTTTGACCTACTGAGTCGCACGCACCATTCAGTTTTCGAATTCATTACTCAATTGTTTGTGTATGTCATATTTCTTTAATTTACTATTCACTCACACCTTCGTGAGTTCTCCATCGTAATGTGTGCGAATTCAGTCTGTTGTTTGATCCTTTTGTATTTTGTATCTAGTCAATCCTTGTTTTGAACAGAAATCTCAACTCCATCTCCTCTTGTCTATATAACACTGAATCGGTCATGAGGCAAGTTGCGAGCCCGAATAGCGAAGTGGTCACGTCACTGACTGCATCACTCACTGGGTGACATGAGTTCAAATCTCAGAAAGGACATGAGTTCCTCCGGAATATGGATACGCCTTGCTGACTACTGGTGTACAGCTGAAAAGAATCGATGAAATGGAACGTGCTGGTATTATCCTGCAAATAGGCTTGTTCTTTCTTTGTTCAAATCAATATCTGCTCTGTGGTTGAATATAATCCCAGATTAGGTAGGTAAGACACAGTGATGCAGCATTCATAACCCGGTAACCTTCTAAAAAACCGTTGTTACCATGTACTGTAACATTCATATCAGAATATCTTATCTGTTATGTAACAAATGTGTTAACTGACCAGAATCTATCTTCTGTGATAAGCTGGAGAATCTTTATAATTTTCAGAGCAGAAATTGTGGTGAGAGCTGTCTACTAGCCAAATTGGTAGACAGTAATTTACGTCAATATTTACGTTCCCAAGATTTGTCGTGAGAAAATGTGAACAAAGATTGATTCAAAACTGACCACAGTAGACTTTGCGTAGGCGGATGCAGTTAACATATAGAGGATTTGACATTCAAGAAACAGTCACAAATAGATGAAAGATTAACTTTACGTGAGAAACAGCCAATCGGAAGACTGTGTTTGTTTACTTAAATATCCATAGTAATGTACATGAAAATATATAAATATGCGTTGATTTCCTTAATAAATGATCTGTTGCCTGACTCTTGCCTTCTGTCGTTACAAAATCACTTCATATTTGATTTCAACATGGAAAAATGCTTTGAGAACAAAATGAAAAATTGAAACTACTCTAACGTTAGACAGTTAAATTTTTCTATGCCACTTGATTTTTCGATGAATCTATACACAAATAAGTCGGTATATATACATGCAATTCAGTAATATCTTTTTGACTGAAAATTACTATATATTTAGAAATTTAGTAAAATTAAAACGAAGAATAATAGTTTCAACTAACCTTGCATAAATCTGAGCATCTAGGACAATCTACAACCGCCTTGATTTTACGGTGTCCTATAGTAATTTCAATGTCCTGAAGTCCACCAGCTACTGGACATACGAATGGTGTATTATTGATTATTATTTGAAGGCCATCTCTCCTTGAACACTTATACTAAAGGAAAAATCCATGTTTTGCAATATAGATGGGTACTCAAATTTTATTATTTATACTAGGGGAAATGTGATTATATAAGTATAAAACTTGGGCACTATGGTAGAGTATAACTCCATTATGGATAAGATTTTATTCTGATAAATCACACAGTGTTATACAGTTATATTAACTGATGAAGTTTCGAGCACATACTATTGCTCATAATCATATCAAGTTACTCACACAACTTTCTTGCTTCATCTATATAGACGAGTGGAATTGATTAGCCATTTGAATAAAAACCAGTATAAGATAATGTACATTCAGAAATAATAATATGAGTGTTATTGATCAATTACAATCAGATGGGAAATAAGACGAGTGTTTTTTTAGTCACAATAAGTAACTTTTTAGAATGTTATGATGTACTTGAATTGAAATAGAATTTTGAGATTATTTATTATCCTCTTCTGATTTGACTGGCAATAATAATATCTTCCATATTTTCGTTATTTGAATTGAGTCATTTCTGTTGCATGTGTTGGGTGTAGACTCAATGAACCAGGATTCAGTGATCAATCTCTCTCTCCACCTACATAGATTACTTCTTAGAATCTTAATCCTCTCCTACCCTATTGTGTGGTTTTGTGTTATTGCATGTAGTGCAATTGCTGAGCTTTTTTCTAAATAACCCATCTTCTCGGGGTCAACCATTCTTACCTTACCTTATGTTCCGACAATCTGATCATCCTCGATCTACTAGTTTGACCTATATAGTTGACCTCACTGACAGTCATTGGAAAGTATTTTGTATACTGTATTATTTTGTTTAATTGGGTCCACCGGGTCTTTTAGCCTACAGAGCTTGTATCTGAATGAATTTTTAGGTTTCAAGGCCACTCTAATTCCTGCTTTATTAAGAATCCTACGTAGAGTCTCAGATGTCCCCTCCTTATATGGTATAACAGTAGATGCCTTATATTCTCTCTTACATATGGTATCATCATTATTATTATTATTTTTATTTGCTTTTGACCTTTCCTGATCTCCATAATGAATTTTATAGGATAGTTATTTGACACCAACGCTTCTTCTATCTGTTCATTTCATCATTTTATTCTATTTTTGTACTACTCAGTGCTACTGATCGGATTTTTAGGTACTTAACTAAGCCTGCCTTCACAGATAGATAACGGATGAGATGAAGTAAAGTCTAATTATCTATTAGAATGCATTGGCTTTTTATAAACGCTAGTGTGCAGTCTCCTTGTTCATTTTCTGATTCAAATGTGAATTTTATTCCCTTTACTAGTAAGTTTATATGTGTCAAGAACCTAGAAATGTGTTCTGTTTTTAACAATGTGAAATTGTCATCCACATATCTCCACCATATTTTTGGAGTAGGATTAGATGTATTAAGAGCAATATTTTCCCAACTGTCCATAAGTATATCTGCTACGATAGGGGAAATTGATCAACCCATTGTTACACCTTCTGTTTGTCTATACACTGATGGTGAATTATGAGCAGTACAAACATAAGGACTTGAAATTACAAAAGAGAATAACGTTGACTGCTTTCAACTTACACCCAAAATGCTGAGAGAATAATGTCTCAAACAACTTATACTTATAGTCGTATCACGAGAACAAGTGAAATCACAAGATGTTGTATACTCCTTGTTTGATATAACTTATCAGAACCGATCATATTACCTGAGCATGAAAGCTAATAGCAGGGATACTGATAATCTGTAGCGGTTCAATTCTTTTAGCTAAATTAATACGTGCATATCGCTGACGGGGATTTGATTGAAAACCAGCGAAACGACAGTCAAGTGTTCAAATCGTCTCAATCGAACCGGGTCTCAATACTTGTTGACTCAAGCCGGCTTTCAACTAGTTATCCACAACAGTCAACATTAAGTAACACATTATGATTTCCAGACAAAGGCTCCTGACCAATCAAATCTAATTCTTGACAATACCTATTTGGATAAATGGTGTAGAATGTGTAGAAGGCGGTAACCATTTTGCAAACAAATTCATCGTGTTGACTTGGAATAAAGATAATCATATGAAACTAGAGAAACAAAAACGTACGTACGTGACTGTTTCTATTTCTATTTCTTGTTCACAAATCGGATTTTGTTGTGTGACTTAACCAACTGTTTAGGAACATCATTTCAAGGACTAAATGAAGTTACTGGAAAAGCAGAATTTCTGCATCCAACAGAAAACACTTTTACGTGAATAACAAAATAATCAACCAGCTCATTTCTTCACCTAGTCACTACTTACAACAGTGATTTATAAGCTAGTTTTGGTCATCGCACAAGTGACGCTCTTGGCATTGCTCTCCAGACAGAGTCAAACACGCTGAAAACATAATCATCCGCTCCATCTCCCAAATGATGTTAATAATTGACCTCTATTCGAATTTTTCATGACATTTTAAGAACAATTTTCAAGTATTGGTTTGGTAGGGATTTTGTTTAATTGTATGGAGGATTTCATCATGAGCTGACATCAGTTAGAGAACCACTGGAAAACCTGGGAGTACTGGACAGCTGTTTCGTCCTAGTTTGGGACTCTTCACAGTACGCGCCCACCCATTGGACCATTGGATCGGGTCCCAGTGGCTCAATGGTCTACGAGCTCGCCTTGTAACCAGGAGGTCCTGGGTTCGAATCCCGGGTGGGCGCGTACTGCTGAAGAGTCCCAAACTAGGACGAAACAGCTGTCCAGTACTCCCAGGTTTTCCAGTGGTTCTCTAACTGATGTCAGCTCATGATGAAATCCTCCATTTTAAGAACACACAATTTAACTGTACAGCCTTCATGATAACAGTATAAAAGATTTGTAAATGACAATATGAGAAATCTAGAGTGATAATTTGCAATCGACATTTTGATTTTATATATCAAAGGCTTGAATTACACGTAAAACTCCTTAAAAGCAGAAAATGTCTGAAATACGCTATAATACTACATTTTAAAACAGTAAGTGGAATATAAAAAACCTTAAATTATGAGATATCTAGGCTAAATACCATCGAAAGCAGTGTTACTGTGCGTTAATAGAAAAAAAAAACGGTAGAGTTATGTCATGAAGTGATCCACGGCTCATGATAAACAACTCACGAATGTATATATCAAGATTTAAGGGATTAGAATTAGATAATGTTCAACAAAGAATGGAACGGAAAGAAAACATGTATTATTTAATATTTCACCTGAGACATTCGAAAGGCATGAAATGAAAAAGAAATAGCGAATGCTGTAACACACTATTCCAGTGTAGTATTGAATCAAGGGTCAGCCCTAGACACTAATTCACAAAAGGATTTTGTGAAATAGCGGTAATATGCCCAAATGTCTACTTTCGTTTCCTCTAATGTTTACATTTCTGTAGGAAAACAGACATACTGTAAGACTTCTTTAATTAATATTTATTCGTTAGATCTTCACTGACTTAGGGTATAGGCTGTACGAAATTTCACTGAAAGTATAATGATGAGCACCTTAAGCATTTGAATTAGTTAAATTTTTTTGATTATCACTTGAAACCACACGGTACTTTTCGTACAAGTATAGAATTTTCAGCATGTGATATCGGTAGCCCAAATTTTTCAGGCCGACCATTGATATCAGCGAGGCGTCGGCAGGGGATCGAATCCCGGACCATGTGCACGGTCGACAAGCGTTCTAACCACCGACGATGATCATCGTATATTTGTTATCAAGTGAGAGACTAAACGGATAAGCGTCAGTAAAAGAACAGTGGTTATGTCTTCAATGTACACCAAATGTAAATGGATAAATTTTCAATACTAAGAAGGTTGGTTCAGACTTCGCGAGTCACCAAAAGTTTTTCCAACAGGCTACTAGAGAGACTTTTATCAGTATCTGCCTTCAATGGCTTCGGACTGAAGATAAGGTAGTAATAAAGGATCCGCAACAATGCACTCTAGTAAAGAACCCACTGTCCAATAAAGATTAAGAAGAAAATTTAGGTGGATTGAACTCACACTGTGAGGAACATTGAGTAGTGTCACACAGCATACAGTTCGTTAAATGGAAGCCGAATGGAGAGAAATGAATTAATGATGTCAGTAAGAATTTTGATCATTGTGGAATAGACCAAAGAAATTATAATTATATTTCAGTAGTTTGCACACAGTGATAAGTTTTTCGTTTTTTTTACGGGGGTAGGGGATTTTATCATGAGCTGACATCAGTTAGAGAACCACTGGAAAACCCACCATGAAGTACTGGACAGCTGTTTCGTCAGCTTAGTTCGGGACTCTTCATCAGTGCGCACCCACCACAAAGGGCTCTAACCCATTACCTTCTGGTTACAAGGCTAGCGAGCTCGTAGACCATTAAGCCATTGGAACCCGATCCAATGGCCAGCAAGCCCAGGAATTCTAACCTCTGCCAATTCACGATGTAGCACGACCATTTCGCAATGTCTTCTTCGATGAGTTACTGCGTCATCGTCAACCTGTTTGTTTTGGTAATATTGCCTTTGATCACACTAACTGTTTTGTGTTTAATTTCAAGAATTAAAGACAAAACAATTCCAACAGTTGGTGTGATCACGAGGAAAGACGAATTCGATATCCAAGAGTGACATGGAGGAGATCGTGTGAGGCCAAAATGAAAGTTTATGGAAAATCACAGAGCCAGCTAAGGAAGAATGCAGACAACAGGGTGAAATGGATATGTGCCTGTTAAGCTCTGTATTCTACTTTTAACCTAAGGGAATGATGATAACAATAAATAAATAAAACTGGATGGGTGATAACAATGCTTGAAAAATTGTGATTGTTCCTAAGTAATCAAAAGGTTTGGCTGGGCGCGGTGGCGTACGCCTGTAATCTAGCTACTTGGAGGCCAGGGTGCGGAATTTCGCGGGACCGTGGGTGCTCATGTTGGTCGGGCGTCCACGCTAAGCACGGCGCCGATATGGATGACCTGTCGGAGGACGGGTTGTCCAGGTCGACTAAGGAGGGGTGCGCCTGCCCAGGGGGGAAAACCCAGCAGGCAAAAGTCCTCACGTGGTGCGGTACCAGGATAGCGCCTGTGAATGGTGGCCATGTGACAGCCCGATCCGCGCGTGGAGACTGCCTCCTCTTCTGCGTTGGTAGCATAGCGGTTAGGACGCTCGCCGACCATGCACATGGTCCTGGGTTCGATCCCCGGCCGGCGCACTCCTTTACCTGCATAAGCCAGAACTAAAAGCTGGTGAAGAGGAAAGGTTGGGCATGAGGCTAGCAACCCCATTCTGTAAAAATAAACACTGCTACAGAAACTTCAAGCCACTAGCTTGAAGCCAATGATCCACTTGGAACGTGAAGGGATAAAAAAAAATATCAAACCAGACTTCATAAATTTGTAAAACTTACTCTGTGACAGGCTGCTTCACCAGTAAATCCGAATCCGAATTCATACTTCCATATATTAAAATCAAAGCAAGCTGAATCTGGACCCATTTCTTCAAGAAAAATATTAGTATTTGGATCTGAAAGACAAACATTTGTTTATCAGTTAATTAGCTTTGAAACAATTGATCCCTTTTATAAATTTGGATAGTGTTATTAGAAGACGGAGATTATCTGAAAAATGTAATGTGATGTGGTATATTTGCGCTATACATTTCGAACAATCTGATCCCTCACACATTTACTTGTCAAGTCGATATATATATGAAAGATTAAGGGTAATTAAATTTTTTTTTAAAGTGACAAAAAAGCAATATTTACTGATGACGTTTCGAGCACAAGTTATTCCTCATAATCATATCAAGGTTATATGATATGATTATGAGCAGCGACTGTATAACACTGTGAGACTTTATCAAAATAAATTTTACCCATAATGGAATTATACTCTATCACAGTGCACAAGTTTTATTCTTATGACAAAAAAAAGGACTTAAGAATGATTAACACAACGTTTGGTAATCCAATCAAATAAGGATAACCAAGGTAGGTTAAGAGTAATAATAAACTGGTTTTGAATACAGGGGGTGGGGCTTAAGTTTATGAGTAGCTATAGCCTCAGCGTATTTCAGTAAGTGCCGTTGACCATTTTCATAGATGACCTTAAGGGCTGTGTTAACATATAACGCGGAAATAAACAGTAGGATTTTGAGACATAGGTTGGATTTGGTCATCCTTAGGACCTATTATGCAGCCCGGCTTGTAATTATCGAAAAAGCCAAAGATATGCTCCAATGCAAACCTCAAAAGTGCACAAGTGATTATGTCACATCCCACACTATTTACCAATTTTCGTGTGCGTGTGTGGACACACATACATAAGGAAGAGTAATCGTACTTTGCATGTGAGGGTGGGAGAGCATATACCGAAATGGTTAGAAAGACAAATGAGTTGTGGAAAACCAATAGACGCACAGGTCATCTACAGATGACTTTAAAGGCTGTGTTAACATCAATCTTATGGTTCATCTCGATTAGATGTTTGGCTAAAGACGAAGTTGGTAGCCTGGCACCTGCGTCTATTGGGATATGCTCTCCCACCCTAATATGAAGTGCTTCTGATGATGTGAAACGTCCTTTGGGATTTCTGAAATGTTTCTTGATTATTGCAATATTGTCCAAATCGATTGTGTGGCCTGATTCTATGGTGTGTGGACCACCAATGGCTGATGGTTTTTCAAGCTTTTCTAGTTCAACGGGATTTTTCAGTGGTCAAACAGATGCCCTATGGTGTGCATTTCTTCTGATCACCTTGATTTCTCTGTGACTATGTTTGTCCGATGTGCATCGCATCACATTCCAAGCAAGAATTTCATTTTATAGACACAATTAGATAGAGAATCCTTAAGGATTTGTTCTTTTATATGTAATAGTGTGCCTGATATTTTGAAGAAAAATCTTGTGTCATGCTTATTGAGTACTCTTCCGATATCGTCTGAAATTTCTGATCTATATGGAATGACAATTATTGAGGTCTATACTTTCGGAATATGTTTTCGACCATATTTAATGTCAGTGTTGATTTCGTTGATGAAGTTCTTTGGGTAGTTATTTTGCTTGACAGTCTCAGTAATGTTTGATATTTCTTCTTCTTTAACTTTCACTCCGTTACCGTCAAAGTGTGTGCTCGTCTAAGAAGACTTGAAACAACTGATACTTTTTCGCTGATGGGGTGTGACGATCCGAAGTCTAAATATTTATTGGAATGGGTTTTTTTCCTGAATATAGATATACTAAAATGTCCGTTTTCCCTCCTCTTAACTTAGTAGTCCAGAAATGGTAGTTCACCAACGTCTCATACTGCTTTCGAAGTAAACTGGATGCTGGGCGATAGATTGTTCAGTTTCCCCAAGAATGAATTGTGCAGATATCGTTTTAGCACTGCAAAAGTATCATCTACGTATGTTAAGCATAGTGTATGCGTGAGTATGCTTGAAAAGATGTTATCTTCGAATCTATTCATAAAACAATCAGCGACTTTTGAGGAAACTGGTGAACTTTACAACAAAAAAGGTTATCTCCTGTTGAAGAACGATGATTAAGTTGTTATATATAAGCTGAGAATTTGTCATTTCTGTTTTAACTATACTTTGATGAAGCTATTAACGGTATTAAATAGCGTAACGTCAATAGAAACAATATCGTTTAGTTTTTCATTCATTGGGAAATACAAAATACTTTCATTAAAATGAACAACTTTCGTTTTGATGTAAAATTCAGCAGAATTTTTCAAAGGCAATAAATTTATAGTTTATATCTATGCACGGATCCATTACACTCAGACTAGGGAAACAGGTAAGCATATATAACACTAACAGTGTCAACTAAATTTATATATTTATTTATTATTTATATTTATATATGTATGTATATATATATTTATATTATTTATTTATATATATGGTTCAGATACTTGACGAGCATCATCAGATGTAATTACGAAAGCCTGATGAGGATTTCCATTCACAAATAACTTTCTTTGACACTGTAGATCAGATATCCAGCCGGAGAAGGTAAGCAACAGAGGATTCTGACAGGCATCAAACAAAGCCGACAACTTATTACCCGACAAATACACAGAAGGAAACGGCAGTGGACTTCAGATACACTTTGGAAGTATCCAAGTGATTCCACGTAGAGTAAAGACCCTTGAATGAAACTCGAGTGAGAAGAGACGAGTTTGGTGTCCAAAGGTAACATGAAGAGGATATGTGAAGATGTAGTGAAAGCACACATGATGGTGATGATGATGATCATTTAATTAGGATTACCGGGATTGTGCGTCAGTGGCACAGCGGTAGAATGCTCGTCAACCACGCCTAATGTGGTCCAGGGTTCGATCCCCGGCCGACGCACTCCCAAACCTCTCTCACTAAGCCAGTAATAAGACTAGTAAAGAGGAAACGTTGGGCATGAGGATAGAAATCCCATCCGTTAAAATGAAACATCACTGCAACCAAAACTTCAAAGCCCACGAAGCTTGACGCCCTGTGTTCCACTGGGAACGTAAAGTAATAAAAAAGATGGGGATTAGCAAAAATGCATCAGTGGTTCATCGGTAGAATACACACCAGTTATAGTGGGAAGTACGAATTCGAACGCTGGCCAACACGCTTTTAAGTCTCAATTAACCGGTAGTAAGTCGTCTGCAGTGTCAAAGGAAGGCTAAGTATAAGGCTAGTAAATGCATCCTGTAGAAATAACATCAACACTAACGAAAACTTAGAGCTCAAAGCTTTATCTTCTGATTGGAAAGTAAGGGATTAAAAGAGGGGAATGATTAAAAAGGAGCATCTGAAAAGTAAAATTACCGCCATGAATTAAAATAACAACTCCACTTTCAAATAGAAAGAAAATATAAGCCAGATAGCATGGTCAAAATACCGATAATGATATTAGCTCTAATTATCATCCACTACAGAGATATCTGTGTGTCAGTCAAAGTTTATTCTAAATATAATTTCACCACAAATAACAGTAATGAGTTAATTTAATTTAGAGTATTCAAAACTAACCTAATTGCGTTGGAAATGGGTATCGGCACACTGAAGGCAAACTATTGCGAGTGCCAGTAATCTGTTAAAAAAGAAAGATTTTAAAAAATGCACAGTATGAACAAAAGCGATGGAATCATATGTTATAACTTGTGATTATGATTTATCTTCATCGAAAAGTTATTTAATAGTTGGTGATCGAGACGACGATTTTCAATAAGTTATTCTGCCGGGAATTGATTTATTTCAACTTTGGACATGGACTGATATCAGTAAGAGAACCACCGAAAACCAGGAAGTTTTGGGTAGCTGCTTCGACTTAATTTAGCACCGTCTACGGGACTAAGTTGCCTGGGGTTCTAGTGAAAATTTGTCACAAGGTAGGTTCACCAGGTCGGGGGTGAGGAAAAATACTCCCTAGCGATGACACTGGCTGGTACCAGTCGCGCTAAACTCACGAGTTGGTATAAATTAGAATTCATGGGCTGGCCGCTAAGTTGGGTCTCATTTGCTGAATGGTTCATGAGCTTTCCTTGTAACCAGAGGGTCTGTTTTCGAGCCCCAGTGGTTGCAGTTTCTCAGTATTTCTGCCTACTATTCTCCATTGAATTGTAGATTCAAATAGAGAAGTCCTTTATGAGTAGAAAGTGTAGGCGGTTTTAGTGGATCTCACTTCATGATGATGAAACGTTCTGTATAACCATCCTCAAAGAAGATTCTTTTCAGAGCGTTCAGCCTCTCTACCATTGTGTCAGGGCTGCAAATGCTGAGGATTTTGTGGCTCAGTGAACGCATCAGGTTTCATTTTGTGTATAGAAACACCCAACTACCGAAGTTCATTAGTCGTCCGTCCAGTGTCGGCTTTCTGTAGATTGATCTTTTTAGTGTTCCACCATTTTTACGTCTTGTTAATTGAACACCCAGAAAAGATGTTTTATTGTCGGACTCCTTCTTTAATATGAACTGAATTTCAGGGTGGCAGCTTTTGAAAAAGTACAGTATTTCCTCCAAATTCTCCTTATTATTGGAGTTAATGAAAGTGTTGTTCACGTACCTCTTGTAAAACCCAAAGGTGTTAGTCATTTTCGTTAGGTATGTGTTTTCTAGCTTTGAAATGAAGGAATCTGCAAGCAACAAACCTATTGGTGAGCACATAGCTATACCATTTTTTTGTTGATATATTTATTAACTGAAAGGGAAATGGACATCTTAAGTGTACCTCAACAAGAGTTCCGTCAAATAATCAATTGGTATTATTATTATCCTCTTTGAATCAATATGTTGGCATATGTAGCATGTGGTTTCAGTTAGTGGGACGTTCGTAAACAGTGATACCACATCTAGTGAGAACATGGTTTGATCAGAAACATTGACGTTTTCAGTGAAGTCGTCAAAGTTGAAAGAGTCATGGAGAATCTCAGACATGAAACTTGTCTTCTGACTGGTCCTAGTAGGTCTACTAACCACTGATCAGTGCTATGATAAGGTGAATACGTCATCTCGAGAACGGGTCAAAGAGGTGGGTCTTCCTTATGTAATTTTGGTAATCCATAGAGTCGCAGTATGTGTGGCCTCAACCATTTGAACGTTTCATTGTTAATGAATGATTCAGTCCTAAGTTCTCGCAGGATGTCCCTTAGTTTTAATTCAATTCGCTTCGTTATGTTCTTTTCATTGACCAGTGTTGTGAATTTGGATTTGTCAGATAGGACAGTTAGCATTTTACTTATATAGTTTTCGTGACTCATGATTACGATGTATCCATCTTTACCACGGCGTATCAGCATGATCTCCCATTGTTCATTAATTCTTCCATTTCTTTACAGTGTTTCTTGGTTAATATGGACCTTCCGTTTGGTTTGGTATTTACTAACTTGGGAAAACTGTCAAGGACTCATGATGTAAACTGTAGCAGATTCTCTTAAGATGTTTGTATCAGGTCAGATGTACGACTTATCAGGTTTTTAAAATGAACCTGTGATTGAAGCTTCTGGGTTTTTGGTGGTTTTGAGCAGAATATCTGACCAAAGGATACTGCTCCTAGTTCTATGTTTGACAGATTAAATAGGTACTTTTTTCTGGATTGTTTGAGAATGAACCTTCAGTATTGCTAGTCGACAGCAGGTCATCCTTCATTAGATCTGACTTAGTCTTATAATATTGTTTCTCTGTGATTTCTTGTAAATATTCTTCGAAGGAATAGCGTCGTTCTTGATTTAAATCATAGGTTGTATGAACTTGTAGGTAGATGTTGCATTCCAGTTCAGAAACAAATGACCGTTTGGAATTATTGTTGTTTAGCATGTGTCACCTGAGTGTTCTGGTAAATATTTTGATATTCAAATCGATCTAAACATTCTCTGAAAAAAAAATTATCTTTGTCTTTGCTACTTCACAGAGTAACGCAGGAAACTGTCCAGCTCCTTCACCGTCACTGGATCCTTGAAACGTTTAAGCAACTTCTAAATCACCACAGGGTCATATTAAACAATTAGACGTTCAGCAAAGAGTTATTTTTTTTTCATCCAATATATGGAGTTTCATTTTTATATAATTCTAATATTCCAGATTCAGATGGACCCTATTTACATATAAAGAGATATACTTTCCAGGAATCATTATAGTCTGAACAACCGCCTAAACAATTTATCAAGTGTCACACTGGAATCCAAATCATAGTGGAATTCTGTAATGTTACTGGCAAATATCCTTTACTGTAAGGGCTAATCTGATATGATTTGAAGCGAGAATCTTTCGAGTACATGTTGGACTCGATAACTGCCAAGTTTGACTGAAGGAATCCGTCAAAATTTGATGGACCCAGTAATTCTACAGTCACTTTTATATTTCTTTAAATTAATGCTCAATGAGCAGTCTCGTGAACTTATATGGCCATGTTCAGCAAGTTATCAGCTCTCTGTCACCAACCTTTCACAAATATTACATGATTTTCCCGTCTGTTACTTAAATGAGTACACATCGAGATCGATAAAATTTATCAACCGATGAGAAGGAAACCTCACACACACACACACACGGGTTGAAGTTCAAGTCAAAGAAACAATCAGTTCCAATACAAGTAGCCTAGAGGGTGTGAAAACACACAAAAACAACTAATCATGTCCTAGGTCACCAGGAGAGATGATTAATAAACTCGTGGAGAAATCTAATAGCTCACTTCAAATTAAAGTATGCGCTGAAGATATCGCCTAGTAGGGCAGGGCGATGAAAGCTTCGCAAATTAACTATCCAGCTGCTCAGAGAACACAACCACATCAAAATGAGTACAGACTTTCAGTTAGTAGGAAAAATTGTGTTCACACTACAGCGAGAGAGAGAGAGAGGATAATAAGTGTCAACACAAATGGGTCAGTCAGCACATAATAACAACGATGGCCGAAAATGGTGGACTTAATTTTAGAGGAGATAAATAATAATCACAGATATATTCCAAACAGTACTTCCGATACAATGTAGAAATTTTAGTATGTAATACAATAATGCATCGAATTTTCTCATTATATAGCACTGGGGAAGTAATCAAACAGTGCATTCACATTGATAATATTGTTCAGTAAGAACATAAAGATAAATTAAAGTTAATTGGAAATATTAACAACAATCTGTTGTTCACTAGCAACTGGCTCTATTCAGGCAGTTAACCTGGGGTTCTAGTGAGAAGCCGTGACCAATAGGGTACAGCAGGTTGAATATGAGGCAGTAACTCATCGAAGAAGACATTGCTAAGTGGTCGCGCTGTGTCGTGAATTGGTAGAAGTTAGAATTCATGGGATGGCCATTGGATCGGGTCCCAGTGGCTCAATGATCAACGACCTCACCTTGTAACCATACGGTCCTGGGTGGTGGGTGCGTACCTAGACTGCGAAGAAACGGTACTCTCAGGTTTCCCAATGGTCCTCTAACTGATGTCAGCTCATGATAAAATCCTCCATCCAATCAAAGGCACAAGTGGGACAAGGATATTTTCCTACTATCACCGATGATATTTCTAATTGTGTTGTACTGGATCATGCGCCACACCGTGTGTGAAGAGTGAGAATACACGATTACACTGGACCGATAGGCAGGCTCCAGAGTATCTGGACTTTGCAAACGATTCATATCTAGTGTTACACACACTTGAAGACCTACAGGCGAAACGGAAAAGTTGGCAGAGGAAAATAGTGAGAACGGGACTTCAAGTAGACATAAAGAAGACGAGTGTGGTGAAAATAACCAACTACCTACAACAACGAGCACCAGTCACAATGAATGGAATACATTTTTTACTAGGTCACCTCCCTCACTTATGTAGGAAGTGTCGTTTCAACTGCGATGGACAACACAGATGGGGATGTGGAATTCATCAAGGATCGGTAAGGCGAGACAGACCTTCACCTTGTGTGAGATTAGTTTGGAAATCTGCTGCACTCAGCATGAAGAAGACAAGTCTTTTGATTTTCAATATCGATGTTAATTTAGGCAGTTCTTCTGTTTGGGTCAAAACCTTGTGGTGTGCATCACGGAAGGCATTTAGGACAGGTCACTGCATATATGTTGAACAACGGATGCCTTCGGTAGCTGGATACCGAAGATCATATGGCGAGTTCGAAGTGATTAGCAAGAAGAAGTTTTGTGAAGAAAGCAACTGAGAAGTTATTGCTGAAGAAATATGCTGAATGAATTGGAGATGGATGGGATACACATTGATCAGACCGTTGGGTATCATCTGACATCAAGCATTTTTTTAAGATTACTTTTCCTATTAACTGAGAATATGTACTCAGTTTAGTAATAGACGGGAAAATCATATAATAGTTGTAAATGGTTGGGGACAGATATACAGTAACGTGCTTAACATGGCCATATAATACAATGAGATTTCTCATCAAGTAATAATTTCAAGAGATCTCAGAGTTACGCAGATCTTCAATCTTAAGCATAAATATCACTGACATTTGAATGTTGATATTTAGTCACATGATGTCTGCTTTGTTTTGCCAGTATAATATACTTTGCTAAGTGTCTATTGTTCATTCTTGTCTTCGCTCTATACTGAAGATCAGATGACCGGAAAGAATCACCAACAAGAAACTATGGGAACAAACAAAATAAGAACCAATCGCCCAACAAATATGCAGGAGAAAGTGGAGATGGATTGGACACTCGCTGAGGAGGCCGCTGGGTGACATCAAGCGTCACGCCAACGCTCGAGTGGAACCCGAAAGGGAAGCGGCGAGTGGGACGTCGTGCAAGGGTGACATGGAGGAGATCGTGTGATGAGGAACTGAAACAGTGTGGATTAACGTGGATGCAAGTGAAAAGTACAGCAGAAGACAGAAACAAGTGGAGACGTGCATTTGAAGCCCTATGTTCCACTAGGATCCCAAGGGAACAATAATAATAATGATATTGTTCGTTATTCCATTATAACTCATAATATATTTTGCCTTTCCATTAACTAAATAAACCATGTATGACCTTCGTCACATGACATTACAACCAATCAGAATCCAGTGGTGCTAAGGAAGTCTACTGTCCATCTTATTGGTTCATGTATGTTAGCTATTTTCTATATACTCTTGTATAGCACAGTTAATTCACAATTTCGTACTCTTCTACTCACACTCTTGTGTGATAGTTAATTATCCTTGTGGAAAATACACGTATCTTCGTGAACGTGGTGGTTTTCTGATTTTCTCTTCGCATCAGGACAAATTAACTACTCGGCAATACCAGTCTGCACGTTATTGTCCGTTATATCTCATCAGCGCATATTTACACTCGGTCACACCCTAATATTGGCAACGACACCATAACAAATATATAAATTCAAGATATTACTGTGACATACATCTATAAATGGACAATAATCCATTAAATCCCATCCTCCAGAATACTGTCTTTCCGCAGCAGAAACATTAAATGAATCATCCATATACTGGTACTCTTCAGGTAAAGGTTTGTCGTACTTAAATATATTGCAAGCACCACGAGCATTGTCATAGTTTACACAACTTTTTTTCTTGGGATTGTCACAGAAAGGTTGGATATCTTGTCTTCTACAAAATAAATAAATAATATTTGGTTTGTGATACTTAGTTTCAAGATTACGACAGAATATTAAATGTAACTGGAATTCATATCTATACTTATAGCAGAACAGAAAAGCAGGATAGTAAAAACCCTGATTTATGTACACACAAAAGAAACTTCTCCACCCCCTCCCTCTACCTTGGGTATAATTCCAAGTTCTACTAGTTTGTTACTAATACTATTTGTAAATTTGTGTATGACATTTTAGTTACAAACCAATACTTGAAAATCAATGAGATGCTCACTAGCGTTTGGTCCTATTCAGGTAGGTAGTCACCTGGGATTCTATTGGGACGTCGTGACCAGTAGGATGCAGCAGGTCGGCTATAAGTACAAAAACTCTCCAAAGACATTGGCTAGCGGCCGCGCTATGTCGCGAATTGGCAGAAGTTGGAGTTCATGGGCTGGGTTGCCATTGGATCGGGTTCAGCAGCTTAATGGTCTACGAGCTCGCTAGCCTTGTAACCGGGAGGTCTTGGGTTCGAACCCTGGTGGTGGGTGCGTACTGATGAATAGTCCTAAATTACGACAACAGAAACAGATGTTCAGTACTCCCTGGTGGGTTTTCTTACGGTTCTCTAACTGATGTCAGCTCATGATGAAATCCTCCAACCAATCAAACAAAATCCCTACAAACCAATACCTGAAAATCTGCTTCTTAACTAACCCTTAATGTACTTTTCCTACCTATTATATAATTTATTTTAGACACTTGTGTCCATGCTGTTTAATTAACATCCTTTATACTAGGTGTCTTTCATATTACGCAACCCTCGTTAATACTTGCCACTGTTCACCCCGCCCCCCCCCCCATCTAGCTACAATTTGATTAATCATCACATTTTTGAAATATTCTGATGACGTAACTAATAACCCTAACTAATTTTTAATTTTGTTCGACAATCATAATGTATAGACACACACAAAATAGTTATATATAAATGCGATTGTACAGCTAAGTGAATGGATTCACTGGCGAAAAGAGACTCTTCGCTGAACTTTTGTCCTTATATTCAATAGCAGGAAAATGTCTGGAAAAATGCTAACTCGGTGCTCAAATCATTCTAGAAAGCTTGCAATAACTGTAGTTTCATTTTTTTTAAAGTTGGAAGTAATCGGCAGGAAGCCCTACCCGACCTAGGTTTCGTGTTAGTTAACACTCACCAGTAGTCAATAAGGCGTATCAGCAATTCTGGAGGAACTCATGTCCCTTCTAAGATTCGAACCGGCATCACCCAGTAAGTGATGCAATCAGAGACGTGACCACTGAGCTAATCGGGCTGACAATTATCCCCTGAAGGACTGTACTGAATATTTTTTATTGGACAACAGTTAGTAACTAGTGTTCAATCAAAGTAGTCTGATTATTTAAGACAAATTTTCGCTTGACTCACCTCGACTTCCTATTCCTTATGAATTCATAGCACGTTTTCATCACGAAGTCACATCCTAAATTCTTTCCCCATTTGAGGTCATCAGCCATTGAGTAGTCCACACTGTACATGCTTCACAGAACAAAATTAAATGTATTTGTATTAGTATTGAACAAAATGGCATAATACTCACTTAAACTGCCTCAGAATTTCAGTTGATGTGAGAAATCTTCAAAAGTGAGTCTTCAGAGATATTTTTAAGAAATGCTATAAACAGCTTTGATTCCTCATTTACAAGAATTTCACCACTTTGAACGTTCTTCCTATCCTATGTGATATGAAGTGAACGGTTCATTCAGTCAGTTGTCTTGTGGTGAGAGCTGTCTACAAGACAAAATTGTAGACGACAATTGACATTAATTTTTTCGTCCCAAATCAGGGTCATGAGGAAAAACAAGAACAAAGCCTAACCTTGAGGAACTCAACAACCAATCACAGCAAACTAAGCGTGGGCAGATACGATCCGCAGATATATGAGATGACAGAATAACCTTCAGCAGGAAGACAACCAATCAGAAGACGCTGCTTCTCTGCTAACAATAACAAATAATAATGTACATAAAAATATGAAAATATTTGTTGATTTTCTCAATAAACGATCTGCTGCCTGACTCTTGTCTTCTGTCGTTACAGTTTTAGTTTAAGGTACTTAAAATTTAGGAAACAGTTAATAAAAGCGAATCAGACTTTGTGGATTCATTTGGAATGATTGTTCTGTTTTCAGGAGGCATATAAATTAGTTAAAATAAAGTTATGCGAAAATTTGAACATCTACTCATGCCCGACTGAAATTAGCTTGATATTTTGGATTTACTTATACATTCAAATAATTTCGTTGAATTAATAAATTTATGCGATGTCATGTGAGTGAAACACGCCTCATCATGGTGTGAAGCTGTCAGCTTTATTTATGTCGTGGTTCCGATAAACTACATGCAGCGGATCTAGGATATATATATATATACTTTATGCATGAGAATATTCAATAAAGGGATTTAATTGTGCCACTTTCTACATCGCTGAAATACTCATTTTGGAGTCATATTCTACTCGGATCAAAGTCAATGTAAATTTTTACTTATAAGGCGTTAATTTCAAAATTCAACCGGTTTCTGTGATAGACTTACTTTGTATCCTCCATATAGGCCAGAGTTATTCTCGACACCACGGATGCTGGCATTTTGTGTGGTGTCATCAGGTCATTCTAATACAACAAAAATTTAATAGTCAAAGACTATTATTACTATAAATCAGAAATGTTAAGTAGAATGATAATAAAATGGAGCTATTCCATTAATGAGACAAATTGTTCGAGACAGTGAAACTATCAGGAATCGCTCTAGAGATTATGTCACACAGTGAGGATAAGATTTGTAGTTAACAAGTACTCTTCAGTAAATATTATCATTTTTTATGTTCTCTGAGTTCAGACAATACACGAACACCAATACTACTCACCTAAGATACAGATCTTCTCAGTCATATCTTTTGAATTTATTTTCTATCATCAGGTGTCGCTTGCTTAAATGCGTATTTACATATATAGACATCTCCGATCTTGTTACGTTAAGCAGTGAGCTAACATAGAAACCATTGGTATTATAAATCTACCCATATGAATCATTTGCTTTTGTTAGGAAGTTCGATCAAACTTTTTAAAGGATTAGAGTATTTGAAACAGAATAATTAATTTATCCTCCCTAATTTAGAGTGGAAAATTACTAATGACAACTTTAAATACAGTAAGTTTCATATTTTGCTCGTTGAACTATCTATCTAATTCATTGACTGAAGCTCTCAGCTCTTAGTCAACGGTTCGGAAGAAGATGGAATTCACCATTCCTCATAATGCATACATCTCGAATGCATACAGAATTATTTGCATGTCAGCTGATTTGCCTTATTCGACGACAAGCCGCCTATTAGGCTGTCAAAATGACACAATATTACTGTAATCGAGAAGATTTGTAGCTCACGTGGGTCATTCGCAATGAATAGTGTTCTCTGAGCTGGTTGGTTTAGTTGCGGAGCTTTCGTCATCCTTCTGGACAAAACCTTCAGCGCAATATCTAGCAACTAAACCAACCAGCTCAGAGAACACTATTAATTGCAAATATAATTGCGTCTCCCGGTAACCATCTTTACAGATATATTGACTATTAATTACAATATTACTATGCATAGTTTTTATTCCGAAAGTCGATTTATTCATTCAAATTATTTAGTTGAATGAACCAAGTGAGAATTTCCAACAACTAAATTCATCTCCAGCATTTTATTCTGGAAAATAGTTCACCGGGCAAAATGGAGAATAACCGACTGTGCGAATACTTGACCAAAATAAACTTACACCAAGTATTCTATGACTAAAATGACCATTCTGCAGTTCTATTCCATCCAATTCATAGCAACCAAAGTGTTTTCTCGCTTCCTCCTTAGTATATATATATACAGAATAGTTGAATACGAAATGATATTACCAGTTCATTAATACAATCTTTTAGGAAAAGTAATTAAATTGAGACCATTGAAAAAAAATAATGATGTTTACTTGTACACTTTTCAAAGACATACATCACATCCCCGAAACATTATTTCCTATTAAGGCTCATATTTCACTAGCTGTCAAGGAAGGAGGAAGTGAATCACTTTTTATGCATTTTATTTAAGTTCCAAACTTTTTGTTATGTAGATTTTATAGGGTGAAGTATTTTCAACACCTTGCATGGGTATATCAGTATTAATCGATGATTCAAAACAACCAGCTAAGTTAAAAAACTTTTTAGTACATAATTTGTCTCGAATTAGCCCTTTTTCGTTGTAAATGATGAAATTACATCTGAACATCGTCAACGGCTTGCGTCGGTGGCACATCGGTAGAATGCTCACCAACCACACCACATGTGGTCCGGGGTTCTATTCCCGGTTGACGCCCTCGTTTACCTCGCCTGACCGGTAGTAATCCCGGTAAAGATGGAAGGTTAGGCATGAGGCTAGTAACACCACCTCTTAAAATAAAACACAACTGCTGCGGAAAATGTAACGCTCTAGCTTGAAGCCCTATGTTCCACTGGGAAAGTAAAGGAATTAAAATTTATATATGGTTTCCAAGAAATTATATCCGGTGAGGGAATTAGATCAAACGTGTGAATACATGAAGTAATAATAGTAATATGGAAAGCAGTTAAAACGTTTGTGATTATAATCACAGTCCAATGTGATGTATAAGATTTGGAAGGGGTCTGCAATTATAGAATTAGTTGGCAAATGGAATAAAAGTAAAAAAACGTTGGGTCACATTATGTGAAATTTGATAACAGAGAATTTAACGTTTCAAAACAAAACTGATTTAGAATAACAACTGGAATGAGTGAAATAATACTGGAGACAATGCAAAGTGAGAATAGTAAAAGTGACAATTAACATAATGAAAGGAAGAGCATACAAATGGAATAAACAAAACGAAACATAAGTAGAGCCAAAATATGATTGGAGATTATCATACTTTAATATAGACGAATTAAGACCATGAAAGTTGGAGGGGGTGAATGAAATTCTATTTCGATTATCAAATTTTCAGCAGTACAGATGAGTCGCACACTCAGTGTTTTGAGCAAATTACTTTTCGCCTTTCAAATAATTTTAAAGGCGGATACTGTAGAGATATGGTGTTCACTATCGACCAGATGTTCATTGACTGCGCTTCTTATTGCTCCACTTCCACGTCTTCGTAACCATGCATGACAGTATTCTTCCACCTTCCTGGACAAAGCTCGAGTTGAACGACCGATATACCTAGCTCCACATGAGCAGGTGAATCGATAAACGTACGTAGAGTTGGTCAACAGCGGGATCTTGTCCTTCAGGTTATTGAACAGTTGATTGGAAGAGGCTGTTCTTAACGATGTAGCAGGGAATATCCTTCTTAGACACAGTGAGTTCCTTTTTTTAATGGTATTAGAAGCAGAGACATCTTTGAATCCCAAGCTGATGTATAGTGTTTTTTCTGTCCCGAATGATAAGTCAAGTTTCATAGGATTTTACTGTATATTCTTGTCTATAAGGCGTGGCGGAAATCCAGTTTCTATTAGGATTATCCTTAGAAGACTTAACTCTTCTTCCACAGTATATGTGTTGCTAATTGTTTTGAAACTTCACATTTAACTTTGATTATAATCACAAACATTTTAATTGCATTTCATCCTACTATTATTATTATTATTTTATGCATTCACACCTATAATTCAATTCCCTCACTTCTTAAAAACTATATATATACTACTGTACAGCTTGATAATAAATTCGTTGTTGGAGAGAGTCTCTTCTCTGAATCATTTGTTTTGATTTGCAATAAAGAAGAAATCAACGCATAATTAATGTATCATTAATTTGAACAAGGAAAGACTCAGCGTATTTGTACCATGATAAGGGCTCATTTAGTTTCTTGGATTGCTTTCAGTTGCATACATCCAAAGCAATATTGCATTATAAGTGATATAGTTTCTGACCTTACTTTTCACAATCACTTTGGGTTATAAATAAGAAGCATAAGCAACATAATTGCAAAGATGATGTCAGTAGACAAATTATTCACTGTGAAAAGAGTGACACTCTTTGATTGGACAATAGGAACTAGTGTAATGTGTCTAGTCCTTTCTTTGATGCAGACTGAATTCGATCAGTCAGCTTTGCAACGTGGTCACCATTCTAGGTAGCTCGCCACCACGTTGCACATTGATTTGATGATATTAGATGGTTGGAGGCAATCGGCTGGAAGCCTTGCTTGACCTAGGTTTCGTGCTAGATGGCAGCCATGCTTAACACGGGTTCGAATCTCAAAAGGAACATGAGTTCCTTCAAGACTTCAGATACACCTTGCTGACTACTGACAAGTGCTGACTTCGAAACTTGAGTTTTATAGTTTTCTTTGTCCTCTCCTAATTGTCGTAGGGTACCCCTACATCTAATACATACATTTAATAAACAAACTAATATGGAATAACTTACTACCATAGTGCCCAAGTTTTACACATATATTAATAGGATGTATGAGATTGAATAGAATCAATGAAATATAACGAGTGTCTGGTATCTTGCAAATATATACGTTCATTCCTCTTTTATCAAACTAATAAATGGAACCGACTGTTTTCAAGTATTGGTTTAGTAGGGATTTTGTTTGATTGCATGGAGGATTTCATCATGAGCTGACATCAGTTAGAGGACCACTGGAAAACCTAGGAGTACTGGACAGGTCAAGGACCATTGGATCGGGTCCCAGTGGCTCAATGGTCTGCGAGCACGCCTTGTAACCAAAAGGTCCTGAGTTCGAATCCCGGTGGGTGTGTACTGCTGAAGAGTCTCAAACTAGGACGAAACAGCTGTCCAGTACTCCCTGGTTGGTTTTCCAGTGGTTCTCTAACTGATGTCAGCTCACGATGAGATCCTCCGTGGAACCGACTGTATAAAATCATTAGCTATCTGTCAAAACATAATTAGTTTTTCTTCAGGAAAACAGTTATATTTTGAATCATTTGCACTGAAAAAATTACAAGGCTTTAGTTTCATCTTCATAGATTATCTACTTTTACCACTTTTATTTTAGAGTCAACAGTTATCCCGAAATATAAGACGATATAATAAAAACTTACAAGCATTTTCGGTAATCGGATTACTAATTTCTTCACGGTAAACCTTCTTCTCGGTGTTAACCATTCTCGAGTGACATTTTGAACTGGTCTTGGGCTAAAATGTAGAGAGAAACAACAAAACTGTATAAGTGATTATGCTAAAGTTCATACACCTAACACTCAACAACTTTTCAAGGGTGTGGGATAATATTATTCAATTGGTTGGAGGATTTCATCAGGAGCTGATATCAGTTAGAGAACCATTGGAAAACCCACCAAGGAGTACTGGACAGCTGTTTCGTCAGCCTAGTTTTGGACTGTTCAACAGTAGGCACCCACCACCAGGGTTCGAACCCAGGAACTTCTGGTTACAAGGCGAGCTTATAGACCTATTAAGCCACTGGTGGAACCTGATCCAACGGCTCATGGATTTCAACTTCTGCGGAGTTGTTGCCTTATGTCATGAATTGGCAGAAGTTGGAATTCATGCACTGGCCATTGGAACAGGTCCCAGTGGCTTAATGGTCTAAGAGCTCGTCTTGTAGCCGGAAGGCGTTGATTTCGAACCCTGGGGGCAGCGTACTCCTGAAGAGTCCCAAACTAGAATGTAACAGCTATCCAGAACTCCAATGGTTCTCCAACCAATGTCAACTCATGACGAAATCCTGTAACTAATCAAACAAAAGTCCCTACAGAAACTGATACTCGGTAACTTTCAATTTTTGTCTTGATTATCGTAAAGATAACGGTTTCTAAAAGTGATATTATGTACCACACGCCAACCCTGTTAATTTCACTTCAGAAAATTCCGAAATGTTTATAAAAAGTTTTACTGTTATGGATATGTTTGCGTTTCAGTGTCTTCATAGGAAGTCATATAAGCTGGACCACGTCTCTTTTCTTTTTATTAATTTTCGGATAGAAAGTTTTTCTAGTGAATCGTATTAAACTCACTTATTGTTTATTGTGAATTGCGGTTCCAAATCAGGCAGCATTGAATACAGTGTGGGACTGATTCCCTGGGAAAATTTAATAAAAAAAGGTTGCGTAAATTTTTCTTTTACAAATTATAAAGATGGTGCTCCACTATTTTTCTATTTTCTTTTTTGATCAGTGGAATCATTTGAAGAATACCTGGAAATGTATATACACACTTTTATTGACATCTGTCTCCTCTTGATAGTGAAGATCAGATGGTCGACTAGAAAGGGTAAACAGCAAAGAACTCTAGCAGACACCGAATCATCTGTTTTCATTCATTCCTCCGAGCTAGACCCTCTCGACCCATGATGAGTTCTCTTCATATGGTGTTGTCTGCTCCCAATTTAGCTGGCATTCATATCACCCATAAGGATTCTGATGTCACCATTTAGGATACTGTCCATTACTCTTTGCATTTGTCTGTAAAAATCTCCCTTCCTCTCCACTGGTTCCGCGTTGCTTTTAGCAGTGTGCATAGCATTCGATAATTGTTACCTTCTGTCCTACCTTTCGAGTTGAATATTGATGTCATGATCCTGGGTGGAGAGATTGGTTCCAACTGCATTAGGGCTTTGGCTGCCACTGATAACATCATGATAGCCACTGACTGCCTCAGTGTGTTCGTGGTTGTCGTCTGGGTGACCAGACCAGAGTAGATTACCGACTCTGCAGTTGACAGTGTTGTCAATCCACATCTATTCCATCTGTTCTCACAGATACCCAGTGCTTCTATGCCATGTCTCCTCATTTCTTTGGGTATTTGAACAGCCTTCACAGTTTCTTACATTGTAAGAGCATTCCACGTCCCCATTCTTATTCTTGCTTTCATCGAGAGAGAGAGAGAGACATCGGCTGTCTGACTGCCTTCCCAAAGGCGGACTTTCACCATCCCACTGTTTCATTTCGCCCCCACCCCCAATTCCAGTTGAGAATAAGATTATTTCTTTGAATTTTTTATATTTCTAACACTATTTTGTGCGTTGAAGTTTCTCTAACAGTTTGATGGCTTTTGTGGTGTAGGGTCGCTAGCCCCGCGTCGAATCGTCCTTCTTTACTCGGGTTTGGAACCGGCTAGAAAACTGGCGAGCTAGTTAACTAGGCGAGTTTTACATCATCCAAACTAGAGTCTAATTTATAAGTGGAAAGATTTAAATAATGAAATCGAACAGTTATTCTAGTCCTACCTAAATTCATATATTCCAGTAATCTAAATGATACTGATCCACTTGTTTGACCTATTTACTTGACCTCATCGTCATTACACGTTTATCTACATTACTACTCTTGTTTTCTTTATGCATCTTATCAAATTTTGAATAAAATCTGAGACCTTTGTGTTTCCAGCAATCCATAAATGTGTCTGATACAATTACTGGGGATAAGGATAATCCCATTGGCACTCCATTTGTTCTTTTGCAAATATTTTATTTCGAAATATGAATAGAGCGGAGTTTAAACATAATTGTGCATTTAATATTGTTACTTTGACTAAGAAGCTTAGGACCAGTATCCAGTTCTCATTCCAAACTGCTTTCATAAAACTTTATTAATTGAAGTAGTTTATAAACTTGTTATGTCAGAAGTAACCATTTTTTTTCATTCTTTCCTGTCTCCATTTTCTCCGATTTTTGTCTCATTAATTATGAACTAGTTGGGCTAGAAACTAACTGTTCTCTGCTGGGACACATTTGGAAAGAATTTTATTTCCACTTAGATGTTAGTTGGATTCTAGGTTGGCCACTAAAACCTTTCGTCATAAGTTATCCAGCTGTAAATTAATTCAGCAGTGTTAACGTCGTTCGTATACTAGAATAGGGACAAGATATGGTCTGGAATACTTGTGAAGCGATGATGTTTAAAATTATCGTAAATAAGATTACTGATTATTATTATTATTATTGTTCCCTTGGATTCCTAGTAGGACATAAGGCTTCAACAACACCTCTCGACATTCTTCTATTTTCCGCTGTCCCCTGCTAGCTGAGCCTACAATTTCCTATAATCTCTCTTCTCCTCCTCCTCGTCACACGATCTTCTCCATGTCAACCTCGCACTGACAACCCACTCGTCGTCACTTCTCATTCAGACTCCACTCAATGGCCTGGTGCATGATATCATTCGACAGTCTCCTGAGTGTATGCCCTGTCTATCTTCTACATATTTGTTGAACGATAGATTCTTGGTTAGTTTGTCCCCATAGTTTCTTGCTGCTAATTCTTTCTAGCCAGCCGGCCATCTGTTCTCCAGTATGTATAGCTAAGCTAGCTGTTGGAAATGCTTTTCGTGATGCGCAGTCCAAATTTCTGACCCATATAGATGAATTGACTTGTTTTCTACTTTGGTTGAGTGCAGTAGATTAACAAACCGATTTCAGATTGATAAATGTATGTATATCTTGCCTTTCTCACTCTAGTTTTGACATCTTCATCAGTGTTGTTGCTTGTATTTGAAAACATTATTGCATAGCTAGATGAGTGAATGAAGTTACCTCATTCAAATTTCTCACGTCAATAGTGATTGGTTCTGTTTTTTTTTTGGTTATCTTCATGAACTCCCTCTTCTCTGTTTTTCACCTGCAGTCCTGTCTTTTCTGCTAGCCTCTTCTACCAGTTTGTTGGTTTTTGTCTGCAAATCTTCAAGTTTTTATGACATTAAACATAAACTACTCAGCTTCGTGATAAAAGTCAAAAGTGAATTAGCAAAATAATTCCGTCGATCAAGCGTAATGAACAGGGGAAGGATAATGTTGTTTCAATGATATTTGACAGACTCTACATACATGTGATATTTTCTTGTGAGAACAAACTTGTATTATTATCATTATTATTTTGAAAGAAAACTTTACAATTTACTGACTTACTAATACATGTCCTATTTCATGCTTCGCAATATCAGTTAAATATGCATCATCGATAGGTTTAAGTGAACTGGCCTCAGAACAAAAGTTCACTCTGCCCATAAAAGGTCTGAAAGTATGAAATAACAAACATTTAACCGTTACATATATATATATTTCATTTATTTAGAAAAACATACATATAATTTCTTTATTTGTTTGCGCTCCAATTGGAACATAAGGCTTCATGCTTGAGCATTGAAGTTTCAGTAGCTGTGGTATTTTCGCTTACAAAAGCCGGTGTTCCTCAAGGTGCCGTCCTCTCTCCTTTTCTTTTTTCTTTCTTCCTACACGACCTGCCTCAATTAAACGAAACTAACTTCGTCAAATATACTGATGATCTGACTGTATCACTGCCTATCACTTCCGATTCTGACTGCTCCAAACTTAATAGCTTTCTGTTGGATATCAACAAGTGGTTTAAGTCAAATGGTCTCATGTTAAATCCTTCCAAATGTCAGGCAGTTAACTTTACTTTCAAGCATCGACGTGACATACATGAACTAGTTAGTTCTCATGATGCCTGCAACATAGATGGCACTGAAATTGAAACCAAGTCAAGCATTAAATACCTTGGATTAGTTCTTTCCTCTGACCTTTCATGGTCATCCCACATCTTATTAATCTCTAAGAAAATGTTTCGTCTTACCTTCTTCATTAAAAAGTTAAGACAATCAGGTATCAACCAACCTTTAGTTCTGCAATTTTTAAACTCCTGTATTTTACCTATTGCAATCTATTGCTCTCCATTAATCTTTCCTGGGCTTCTCAAGAAAAGACTATATCATATTACGAAGGGTATTAAATGCTGTGGTTAGGGCTTGTAGTTTGCCACTGTGTGAGCTCGCCAATAATATAGTCGAGAGACACATAAATTCCTGTACAAAATGGGCAAAGGCTGTACTGTCAGACCCTCTGCACCCCCCTTTATTCACAACTATCCCCTCGTATCTCATCAGGTAGGACGAGAAGTCAATATAAAAGTTATATGCTCGAACCACTAAGTACAAAAATTCTACAATACCGTATTTAGCCCGTATTTTATGTGATGAGGACTCTGTTAGACGTGAAACATATAAGTTACTATGTAATTGGCAAAGTGAATCGACCCTTTCATTGTTCATCTTTCTGTAATTTTATGGTGTCACCCTTTCTATCATTTAATTATAACTTAGCTATTTTATTTTAGTTGTTATTACTATTATTACTATAATTTTATACTTTATGCATATTTTTCTGCTTATCGCATACTGTAATTGCTACATAGCTGCTGGTATAACAACGTTTTGTTATTATTATTATTATGTAATTGTTTATGTTTGTCGTTTTGAGTAAATTAGATGCAATATTGTATTGATTGCTCAAAATTCCTTGCTGAATCATTCGTACTGTTTTTTGAATAAAGCAAAAAAATTATTATTATTAAAATTTTATAGTTATAATATCATGTATAATATAGGCTATCATATTAGCCTAACTACTTAACTACAGCAGGTCTTCACTGGAGATGTCAAATTTCCACGATATAAAACTATGTTACTGAGCTTCATAAAACTGAGTTGCCTACCTCAGGTAAATATCAAAAGTTGTAACCACTATGAAAATCATTTGTGCACAACACAAACAGATTCCTTTATATCTGTGCATGTTTTGTTAGAAAGAGTCTTCAAAACTCAATTATTATTTTGGTTACTTATTCACATGATTCAGTCTTTTTAAAAAGAATTTATAACAGAAAAATGACGCACCTATGATTCTGAGGATCTCGTTCACAATGTGTAGCCCAGGCAAATGCACCTTCTGCACATGTTTCATCGAAGACGTTAGTTATAAATAACACAAGTTCATTTGGTTTAACACCAGTCCCTTCATCATACCTTAATGTATTTTTAGCGTATTTTCTGTAGTAACACGCCTGAAATAGAGTTCAAATATGCATGGTTATAAATAAAAAAAACCGTAATCTATTTATTAGAATTCAACTTGTAAATAATTACTTATTATTTTCATTCGCTTTAGAAATCTTCACAGAATATGGTAAAAAAAAAGCTCACTAAATCCCCTCACACTGTCAGTGAATTAATTTTCTTGATTTAATTTTTGATTACAGCTTGATTTTTACACCGTATTTTTGGTACAGTTGTGGAATTTTCAGCATGTGATATCGGTAGCCCAAATTTTGCAGGCCGACTATAGATATCGGGTGTGCGTCGGTAGGGGATCGAACCCTGGACCATGTGCATGGTCGGCGAGAGTCCTAACCACTGTGCCACCGACGCACAATTCTTGCAGTTCATCAGATTACGCCGGAAAACACAGTTTTGTTCATCGTAGAAATATTTCTCTGCAACAAATTCACTTCGAAGCTGTATATAGTGTTGCAAATCTTGCAGAAAACAAGCAATAAATCGCAGTAAAAACCGCTTAGTTAACGTACACATGATCAAAATAAATGGGGGTTAAGTTGAATACCAGTTGATACATTGATCATATAATAATAATAATAATTTGCTTTATTCCAGAAACAGTACTAGTGGTACAGTGTGGAATTTTCAGCACATATCCACAATATTTGCATCTAATTTTACAGACATTTAAAATACGTATTAAACAAACAAACAAAAATAAATCTGAAGACACCAACGGCAAAAAAAACAAAAAAAAACAGGATAAACACAAAATAATTATAAATGCGAAAAGGTACAAAAGTCTATCAAAGTCTAATGTAGTTTTTGTGGTGGTATTGTGAGTAATCCTGAATAATACAAAATTTTTTTTAAGGTGGTGACTATGGCGTTCACAAACAATGATTGTCAGTTTAATATTGCCGAAAAGTATAGAAAATAAGAAAAAACAGCCACAAAACTAATATTACATGATGGTTAATGACAGGACATTTTTGTAATACTCATAGTGATAATATAGTCGGAATCAGTAGATACACAAAAGAAGGAATAGAGTAAAGTACAAAAAAGTAAGCCAGTGTTAATAATTTAGGTAGCTAAGTATGTTTAAGAAGGTGTTCACTATAGAATACAAAATAAGAGAGAAATAAAAGAGCCTAAAATTATGTTGTTAACAACAAAGCAAGTCATAGGTTTCACGCTTAACATTGTCTCTGTCACTTAGAACACGGGCCAAGTATGGTATCGTTGAGTTCCTGTACTTGGTTGTACGAGCATAGATTCTTTTATACTGATTTCTGGTTTTACTTGATGAGATACAAGGAGAGAGTTGGGAATAGAGGGGGTGTTGGGGGTCTGAGAGTATGGTTTTAGACCATTTTTCGCATGTATTCAGATGCCTATCAACTAAAGTAGTGACGAGCTGACTGAGATTTACACCACTAGTCCTACTAACTACTGTCAACATCCTTCTCAGGATGGAATAGTCCTTTTTCAGTAGACCAGGAAAGACTAACGGGGAGCAGTAAAGTAGAATAGGTAAGAAACAAGAGTTGACAAATTTTGAAAGTAGAGGTTGGGTGATTCCAGATTGTCTAAGTTTCTTAATGTAGTAGGTAAGACAGAACACTTTCTTAGAAATCATTAGGATATGAGATGTCCAAGTAAGGTCGGAAGATAGAACTAGACCGAGGTATTTAGCATTAGACTTAGTTTCAATTTTAGTCCCTTCAATGCAACAGTCTTCATGAGAACTTACTAGTGTTTGTAGATCTCGTTTATGCCTAAGGGAGAAGTCAATAGTCTGGCATTTTGAGGGATTCAGCATGAGACCATTTAGTTTAGACCACTCACTGATGTCCGACAGGAAGCTATTTAATTTGAAACAGTCTGACTGAGACTTAATGGAAAACGATACAGACAGGTCATCTGCATATTTGACGAAGTTGATTTCATCTGAAAGAGGTAAATCATGTAAGAAGAAGGAAAAGAGAAACGGAGAAAGAACAGCACCCTGAGGAACTCCAGCTTCAGTAAGCAAAGGAGAGGAAGATACACCATTATATACCGTGTACTGCATCCTATTAGAGAAGTAAGAGTGTAGCCAGTTGATAGCCCAGGGCTCAGTTTGTGTAAGGCTAAGCTTGTTTAACAATAGGCCTCTAGGTACAGAGTCGAAAGCAGATGTATAGTCAAGGAACGTACAACGGACAAACTTGGCCCCTTTGTCTAAGGAGGATACAATGTTGTGATGAAACACAGCAGCAGCGTCCAAAGTACTTTTACCCTGTTTGTAAGCAAACTGCTTTGGATCGTTTGAGAAACTTAGGGAGGGAACAAGTTTTAGTAACAATAGTTTCTCCATTAGTTTCAAAACAGGAGAGGTAATAGCGATAGGTCTAAACTTAGCATTATTTCCAGAGCCTGACTTGGGTACAGGGATGATTTTAATATTTTTCCACAGAGAAGGTACAACATTATTAGAAAAAGAAGTATTATGTACGTACTGCTAACGAATCCCCCCCCCTCAAAAAAAATAGCTGTCCTCTACGCCCTGGTTTTCAATGGTTCTCTAACTAATATCATCAATCCGTGATCAATTTTGAAACAAATCAAATCCTTACAAATTAATCCTCAAAAATTAATCTAACACTCTCTAGTGACTGGATGAAAGATAAACTTACCTGGAGTTCCAGTGGAAAGTAAGTCATGACCAGTGGGGTCTACCTCGTTGGGAATGAGGATAGCTACTTTTCAATTTCATTGGCTGGTTGTCGCGCTAAGACCATGAATAAGTAGAAGTTAGAATTCATGGGCTAACCATTCAGTCGGGTCCCAGTGGCTGAATGGTCTACGACTTCACCTTGTAATAGGAGGACACTGCGTTTCAGCCCAGGTGTGTGTTTGTGTTTTTTGCTGATGAGTTTTAAACTAGGACGAAACAGTCCTCCAGTACTGTCTGTTGGTTTTCAATGCTACTCTAACTTATATCATCAGTTCATAATCAAGATTTAAGCAAAGAAAATCCCTACAAACAAACTTTTGGATTTTTTAATAATCAATTTGCAATTTTTGAATTCATCCACTTCAATTCTACCCTAACTGACATCATATCAACTACGGTTATGCTTACCGTTTGTATAATGACTAAACAATTTTCATTGCGACGTAATGAGTTTTTTTTTTGTACAATATAAATACGACTGTACAGCTTCAAAAGGAAGTTTTTGAAGAGAAATATCTCTTCATTGGCCAAAAACTGCTTTCTTCATTTTTTTTTCTAGTGAACTGTTTAAGAAATAGGTTTGATATTGTTATAAATTATAAGTAAGTATATGTACCTATCACCCCAGCGTGTTCTTATACGTTGCAAACTTGTAGACACCACGTATACTGGTAATTGATAGAGCGCCTTTAATGCAATACAAGAAATTTACCTATCTGGGAGTGATACTTTTGTTAACAATAATTAATCAGTATCAACACGTCAAGGAGATTATAATTAACCAAAGAAACCTAAGACAACAATTAAAGAGCAGTAACTTGAACAGTGATAACTTGTAAAGAGTTTGGGTAGAAGGGGGGAAACTGTCAGTTTCTTTTTTACATTCATGTAATGATAGACAAGATGTGGCTGCAGGAGTCTCTTCTGAACTGGCTACATCAGCAGGGTTCCAATAGCCTTTAACTTTAAAGTAGAAGAAGAACTCGTAGAGCAAAATTCGCATTGATCGTAATGAGATAAATAACCCTCTATGTTTTAATAATACCAACTGTATGCTCACTGTCTACAAGGTGTGTTAAAACAGAGCTATGAATAAGTCTTGTTTGCTCCTTGCTTAGCCATGAAAGATGATGTTCGTAAATCGGATAATCAACCTGAACCTAATTGTACAACAGATGTGACTAGCCCCACAGGAGCAGTCAAACTGGTATATCTGCATAGAAGAGGCAAAATCAGACATTTCCTTTTTATTTATCAAATCACAGTTATTGTGAAGAGACAATGTACCTCTGCTGCATTCAATACTCTTTTTTTGTTGCATTCTTTAGGCACTGTATTACTTTTCCGCTGATGTCATCATCAAGAAATTGTGGCTTTATGAACAAGGGATTCTTTGGAGTTTTGTCATACTGATTTGCCTTTGATGCTTAATTCATAGTTTTACCAATGAACTTATCAGTATAACTATTTTTACTAATCAGTTCTCCTTATAACAGTAGACTCCTCATTGAAACAGTCGTTTGCGAAAATTAGTCTGGGGGAGGAGGTTTATGAACTCAACACCTTATTAAAATGTATTCACACTTCTGTCTATCTTATATTCGTAATCTTTTTTGGATTCTCACAAAAAAGTTGATGCATTTTATAGTAAAACAAAGTAGTTTACGATTTAATATTAAGATTTATACAAAATACTGTATTTCATACTTTACTGCAGTTAAGTCTACACTTGTGATTTTTTTATTCCTTTACGTTCCCAGTGGAATATTGGGCTTCAAGCTAGAGGCTTGAAGTTTCGGTAGCAGTGGTTTTTGTGTTTACAGGATAGGGTTGCTAGCCCCATGACCAACCTTCCCTCTTTATCAGTCTTATTACTGGCTTAGCGAGATAGTGAGATAAAGGAGTGCGTCGGCCACATGTAGCGTGGTCTGCGAGCATTCTACCGCTGTACCACCAACGCACATTTGTGATGCTTAGTTCTACAAGTATTTTAGTCACCAGTAGGATTAATTTTGCAAAATCTATTCTGAAATAAAACATAGTGTGATATGAAAAACAATAATGGCATATTTCCAAGGTAAAGTAAGTACGGAACATGGTTAACATTTGAATCCTTTCAAAGGTTCAACACTCATTCAAATATTGTCCAGTATTATAACAGGAACCACTAATTATTTTTCTGATAATCTTATCTTATCAAATACAAAATACTTTTTGAAATGTTTTCATTCGTCATGTTTAACAAAAAGAGTGATTTATTTAAGAATTTGAGAAATCATTATCACTTATCAGTATAAATATGTCCATGTCAAATACATTAGTGAGATATTAACAGAATGCCTAAGAAATACTGTAAAAAGAGCATACAGTACTACGAAGTATGTGTTGTGTCGTCAACTCCTCCCCCTCCCCCATTTCGCTTCCGGGAATTAAAGATAAACTACCTAATTTTACCTATTATATGTATATCTGTCAATGTGACTGACTGCTCCTGTGGAGCCAGTTGCATAGGCTGTAGTACAACTGGAAGTGTGTTTATCGTCGAATTTTTGAACACTATGCTCTGTGGTTAAGTATGGGACAAATAAAGTCCATTCATGGTTCTCTACTCTCTCTCTCTCCAAAAGAAATTAGTTCAGAGGCTTTCGTTAACCTACTGGCCATCAAGGCTTAAATAATCCTTAATTTGTTGTAGAGATCTCTTTAATTTTATTTGATGTTCTATTTAATATGACACCTTTTATGCATATTTTAACTTATGCATCTCTCTTGAGCTCTAATTTCATTGATCTTAACAAATCGATAGTGTATTTAAAACAGTAATATTATTAATGTCGATTATTCTAGAATATATATATAAATATATGTATAATTGTAGAGCTGGAAGAGGAAATAATTGAAAAGAATATTCATTGCTCAAATTTTCTTATGTCTTCTGAAAGCATATTTAACATTTTTAATTTAACTGAACTAAAGATGAAGTTGAGTTGTTTGCTACAGTTAGGTTTAATTTGCTTCCGTAATAAACATATAAGTACGTGAACTTCCTTTATAGTGTGAATTTGTTTAATAAAAGTACACAGTAATACATCATTATTTACTGATGATATTTCCAGCACAATTTACTGTTCATAGTCATACCAAAGCACTCAAGAAAATTTCAAATTTTGTCTAAATAATTCCATTGTTTTTAACTATTTTAATTTTCAATATAGCAAAAATATTCATTCAGACATCTATAAAACACCAAAATAATCGAGCAAAGAATATTCTTTTCGATAAATTCCTCTTCCAGGCTCTACAATTATATATGCATGCTTATATACATAGAATATTCTAGAATAGTAGTCAATAACAATATTAGTGTTTTTTTAAATAATATCGATTTGTAAAGTATGGTCAATGCTATTACAGTTCATTAAAAGATGCTTAAATTATAATAATAATAATAAAGATATAGTAGCGAATAGAATATCAACTAAAATTAGGAAAATTCCAGCAAAATTCCGGATTATTCAAACCTGGATGGCCAAGGTAATGATAATGTCTGAACAACTAACTTCTTTTGGATGCATAAATTAGGTCTCTTAATAATGGATCCCCACAGCCTCAGCAATATTTAGTAGGCGAACTCTTGACGCGAAATTGAGACTTGTTGATGTGCTGTAAATGACCCTGAAAGCCTTGTTGACATCAATCTTGTATTCTGTATCCACAAAATGAGATAGAATAGCACCATAAATGGATTCTGTTTGTCCTTTACTTAACCACTTTGCAGGGTGATATTTGGAAATCCGACGAGAAACACGCCTAATTGTACGGTCTATGTAACCGGCTCCACAGGAGCAGTTAAACTGGTAGATACTACTACTACTTAATCTAGTTTTAAAAACATGACGAAAGTTTTTCATATATATATATATACATGTATATATATGACATATTCATGTATGATTGTGCGTCGGTGGCACAGCGGTTAGGATGTCCGCCGACCATGCACATGGTCCGGGGTTCAATCCCCGACCGACGCACTCCTTTACCTCACTGAGCCAGAAATAATGCTGGTGAAGAGGAAAGGTTGGACATGAGGCTAGCACCTTCATCCTGTAAAAATTAACACTGCTACAGAAACTTCAAGCCTCTAGCTTGGAGCCCTATGCCCCACTAGGAACGTGAAGGAAAAAAAATATGATAAAGAAGTTCACTTACAGACAAAAAATTTTCAGGTATAGGATAACCGTAACAGTGTTTAATTTCCTTGCATTCACTTCTTCTGCAGACTGGTAGTTTTTCCACTCTGGATAACTGTAGCCACCCGTTTTCACATTCCCTAGAGAAGAAGTTAAAATGTAGACACCTTTAGAACAACACACACATAAGTGAACAGTGTTTTTTTTTCAGTTAGGTTATTTCATCTGATTCATTGTTCATTGTTCAAATTGTACAAGAACTCTACTAACTTCAAGTAAACCAAAAATCTTTTAATAACTGATATTTCTATTGAAAATGTATGATTTTATAGGAGTTTATGTAGTAAAAGCAAGAGAAACACATTAGACACAAGTATTTTCTTTATACATGAAAGATAAGAGCTGTATTTCAGAGTATAGGTACATATATTACTTATGCTAAGGACTCTATTATTTTGGAACCGTATTACTTTATGAAGGAAACAACAGTAAATTTGCATACAAAAAGTACTTGGACAGGACAATATACACATTTTCACAGCTTCATTCCTATCAAGTACAAAAGAAATTTAGTGAAGACCCTCAGCTACAGAGTTACAGCTATATGCTCAGAAGAAGTAATTGAAGATGAATTAAGCATTGTATATGATACTTTGATCGAAAATAGCTATCCCGAAAAATTTATCAAGAAACATATGACAAAGAAAGCGGGAAAGGACTACTCACTATCTGTAGACAAGAAGCCACTTTATATACGACTACAATTCAAGGGCGATATACCAAGTGAGATAATTACGAGGAAATTAAGAAAATCAGTTCAAAGAACTTTTTATGCTGGCGAACTACACGTATTATTCTCTACACGACCGATGGTGCCACCTCGACTGAAAGATGAAGTAGCTAGACTAGCCACTTCAAATTGTACCTACCAATTCAACTGCGCTTGTGGAGCGAGTTATATCGACCGTTGATCTAGGAACTTGATTCTTCGTGCTCGAGAACATCTCCCACTATGGCGAAGTAAAGGTGCATTTAAAACCATTAACAGTTCGATATCAGACCATCTGGTGCAAACCGGCCACAAAGCCAGCGTGGAAGAATCCTTCTCTGTCATCTACCGGGTGCCTAATAAATTGCAAAAATCATCGAAGCACCACATGCTCCAAACAGCAGAGGCTACTGCAATTCGCCTCAAACAACCAGTGCTCTGTGTTCAGAAGAAGCAAGTTCAGCCCCTACTACTATAAATTCATGAATTTATAATATTATCTTCCCTAATTTTTCTGACATTCAGCTTATTTTATGTTGATGCTATTGAGCTGTAATCTATCAATATTACTGATTCGAAGTTATTTAAACAACATCAATGTTGTTCATAACACTAATTCATTCATTCACTATAATGTATAAATAACTGTAGAACCTGATGATGAAGTTATCGAAAAGAGTATTCTTTGTTCACTATCCATTCTTTTGAAATATTTTGAAACACTTGTGTGAGTGAAGCGGAAAAGGAACGCACAATCTTCAGCGTTAAATAATCGGGAAATTTTACGAGAATTTTTTAATGCTTGATGAGGTCCACGAAGTTGGGCATCAAACAGATCCTCGTCAATGACACTGGCTGGCGAAGTGGAAGAAATTAGATTTTATACACCGTTAGATTCCATCCCAGTGTCCGAATGGAACACACATTCGTCCCCTAACCACGATGTCATGGATTTGTACTGCTAAAGACTTCTAGTCTAAGATAAAACAGCCTTCAAGTACTATTGGGTTTTCAAGGGTTACACAAATAATGGTAGTTGGTGGTTTTACTTCTCAGTAAAACAAGAGTTAAAAATCTAGTTGTGGACGTTGGTACTTTAAGAATAATTAAATGGCACTGCACTGAAAAGTAAATGTTATACTTGAAATACAGGAATAAATCAAAGGTAAAATTGAAATAAGGCGATTGCAATTGATGTCAGCTCATGATGAAAATCCTCCAACCAATCAAACAAAATCCCTAAAAAAACACCAATTCTTGAAAATCAATTTGATGCCCATCAGTGACTGGCTGTATTCACGCAGTTAACCTGGAGTTCTAGTGAGAAGCCGTGACTAGTAGAGTACAACAGGTTGAAGGTGAGTCAGTAACTCATTGAAGAAGACATTGCGAAGTGGGTGTGCTATGTCGCGAATTGGCAGAAGTTTGAATCCATGGACTGGCTGGTCATTGGTTTCCAAGCTCGATAGCCTTGTAAGCAGAAGGTCCTAGGTTCGAGCCCTTTGTGGTGGGTACGTACTGCTGATGAGTCCCAAGCTAGGATGGCAGAAACAGCTGTCCAGTACTCCTTGGTGGGTTTTCCAATGGTTCTCTAACTGATGTCAGCTCCAACCAAAAGTGCAATAAAACTAATAAATTCCATTACTAAATTTGTAGGGAATTGACAAATTTCTAGTCACTAAAAGACTTTAATGTATCAATATAGTAAGAAGACAAGTGGAGTGATAACTTCTATAAGCACATATGAGTTGATGGAGTGTTTATGATAAGATCACTTTGAAACTGGAGATCTGTTTATCACAGGTTTGATTCTACGTTGACATCAGTTGGGGAAAACCATTGGAAAACCACCAACAAGGACTACTAGATAGTTATTTCATCCTAGTTTGAGACTCTTCAACAGTATGCACTATACTGCAAGCATCACATCTAGAATGAAATCAACTCATTTGGATCAATTATATAAAAATAAAATCTACTAAACTTTAAATTGATCTACACATATACGCAGATCTTACCTCTTCACCAGTAACTTTTCCCAATTGTTGAATTTAACAGTCAGTGCTTTTGACCAGAAGTCAGTAGCAGATTCCATGACATGCTTTTTCATTTGATTTAGTAATTAAAAAAAATAAATAAATAAAACAAAGAATCAGAATACAACTTAGAAAATATTTTCATTTAAAAAAAAACTAGACAGCCTACCGTTCTGATTTCGATAAACAAAGTGAAAACAAAACACATAGTTCAGTTCTTTATGGACAGCTAGGAAAATATTGCTCTCAAATATATTTAATCCTATTCCACAAATGTGGTGGAGATATGTGGATGACAATTTCGCAGTGTTAAAAACAGAACATATCTCTAGGTTCTTGACACACATAAACTTACTAGCAAAGGGAATAAAATTCACATTTGAATCAGAAAATGAACAAGGAGACTGCACACTAGCGTTTATAAAAAGCCAATGCATTCTAATAGATAATTAGACTTTACTTCATCTCATCCGTTATCTATCTGTGAAGGCAGGCTTAGTTAAGTATCTAAAAAACCGAGCAGTAGCACTAAGTAGTACAAAAATAGAATAAAATGATGAAATGAACAGATAGAAGGGGCGTTGGTGTCAAATAACTATCCTATAAAATTCATTAGGGAGATCAGGAAAGGTCAAAAGCAAATAAAAATAATAATAATAATGATACCATATGTAAGAGAGAATATAAGGCATCTACTGTTATACCATATAAGGAGGGGACATCTGAGACTCTACGTAGGATTCTTAATAAAGCAGCAGTTAGAGTGACCTTGAAAGCTACAAACTCACTCAGGTAGGACAAGCTCTGTAGGTTAAAGGACCCTGCCCTGTAGGTTGATCCAATTAGACAAAATAATGTAATTCACAAAATAACACAAAAATAATGGAATTATTTAAATGAAGTTAGAAAGTTTTATGAGTACCCTGATATGATTATGAGTAGCAATAATTTGTGCTCGAAACGTGGTCATCAGCAGCTCTATCCTAGAACACTTGATCGAATCCGGACACCAAGCAAACCCACAGAACAACTTCTCAGTTATCTACACAATACGTGGGAATCTTGCCAAAAGAGTACGAATTAAACTTCTTCAAACTGCAGAAGCAATGGCAATTCACATATTGAATCCTGAACTCTGCATACAAAAGAAGTTTGTTCAGTCACTAAATATTACTGTATAACACTGTGAGACTTTATCAAAATAAATTTTACCCGTAATGGAATTATACTTTACTATAGTGCACAAATTCTTATCTTATTTCAGCGAAGAGTCTCTTTTCACTGGCGAATTCATTCACACAATAACTGTACAGTCGCAATGATATATATACTTATTTTTGTATGTATGGGTGTGTACATTAGGTTTATCCTATAAAAATAAAAATTAGCTAGGGTTATTGCTGTCAAGACATTTCAAAATTGTGATGAATAATGCAATTGTAACTAGGGTTGGAGGGGGAAGGGTGAAGGTTGATAAAAAGGTAGTGGCGATGAATTGTCAAAACAGCATAGTTATTAATGTAGATCAACACATAAAAGAAGTTGAATAAGTGTAATACAGTTCGTCAATAAGATGAATAATTTAATGAGTGAGTTTTGATATCATGGCAACATGCGTGTTGATTTCTACTGACTTTATGTTTGTGTCTCTGCTTTTTTCTAACTCCTTATAACTCTTATATTTCTTCACAACTCTTATGTAATTCCATATTTTCCTTCGTTTTTATGCCCATCCACAATCATGAAATTATTCATCTTATTACTTGACTATAGTAAAAACTAATTCAAGTTCTCTTATGCATTGACTAACATTGACAACTATTTTTGACTACTGATCACCAGTACCCTCATACTAATCTTTACCCTGCTAGTTTTTTTTTTAATTCCTTTAAGTTCCCGGTAGAATTTGAGGCTACAAGCTACAGGCTTGAAGTTTCCGTAGCAATGGTGTTTATTTTTATGGGATTGGGGTTTCTAGCCTCGTGCCAAACCTTTCCTCTTAACAGGGATTACTACCGGCCAGGCCGGTCGGGGATAGAACCCCGAACCACATGTGTGGTCACCGAGCATTCTACCGCTGTGCCACCGACGCATTCTGCTAGTTACAGTTTGATTATTCATCACATTTCTGAAATATTTTAAATGACAAAAACAACAACCCTAACTAATTTCTTATTCTTATCTTACAAAGCTAGTGTACGCACACGCATACATAAATAAGTATAGATAATTGCTATTGTATAGCTACTAAATGAATGAATTCGTCTGCAGAAAGAGACTCTTCGATGAACTACGTGTTTTGTTCCATATTAGACAAGTGTATTTTTAATATCACACAGTAATGCACTGTTGAAAACTGGATGGCGTGTTTTGTTTTCAGTAATGTCTGGATGGGGATTATTCAGGGATTAACAAAAAGTGAAAATTACATCAGCTTAAAATGACTTTCTGTGAATGCATAAAAGTGACATATTAAATAATTCTTCCTGAAATATGATAATATATCTGAATATACCAAAGCAAGCTGATTCATCACAGTTCACGTCATCTCAACGCTCCAGACAAAAATGGATGAAACAGCTATCCAGTACTTTCTGCTTGTTTTCAATGGTTCTCTAGCTGATATCAATCCGTGATCAACTCGTAAAAAAACAAAACTAATCCTTACAAACCGACTATGGAAAATGTTTATTCATCCAGTGACAATTACTTGTCATATTATTGAAAGGCTGACTACCACTCAATCTCTTTCTGGTGGAATCCTTAACGAAATATCACGATAAATAAAATGGCAATATTAAACAAAATATTAGTCTAAGTAGTAAGCAGCTAAATGAAGTGGGGTACTAGAGAAGAATAACCATCACTGCATTATAAATAAATACCACATAAACATATTAAGACATACCCTGATTTTATCGTACGCCACACCATACTGAACTTTCTGGTCATATACTAAGATGAATTTCAAACGTTTGTCACCATCAAATGGTATTTCCGGAGGGTTTCTTGAGCGAATACCATCTACCTGAAACCAAAAATACACAAATATATTTTATTCAGATATAAAATTGACAACTAACCGGTTTAGCATCTTCGACTACTTTGCAGGTGTACTCGCTATCCACTGAAGTAAGTAACAGCAGACCAACGGTGAAAAATATAAGGATTCGCATATCAGAAGATTGTACTCAGCCTAATTTTTTTTCTTTGCAGTTTTACTTCTCTTCACTGTTTATATAGTCAGTCTTTGAGAAAGGATCACAAGGATTTCTCTACACCCCTCCCCCCATAGTGAAAATAATTTTCCACGTCCTTAAATAAACTTTCAATTTATTTTTAAATTTGCTTATTATTCATATCGCCTGGTACTTTATAAAAGATTTTCTGTAACATGTACTATTATACTGGTTGAGAATAACAGTAAATATCTCTTCATTTTGTAAAACACTTTTGTGATTTACAAAATTCAACTTTGTCTAGTTAACTAGCTTGCTAGTTTTTTAGCCGGTTCCAAACCTGGGTGAAGAGGGACGATTCGACGTGGGGCTAGCGACCCTACACCACAAAAGCCATCAAACTGTTAGAGAAACTTCAAAGCACAAAATAATGTTAAAAAAATACAAGAAATTCAAAGAAATAATCTTATTCTCAGCTGGAATTGGGGGAGAGGAAGAACAAAACCAAAAGGGGTACCTTCACTACAGATCAGATCTACGTGTTGTCATCGAGTTGACCTGCGTGGAAGAATACTGGAACTAACTATCTGAAGATGATGTTCAAGGAAACCTGTACAACTGTTCTAGATAGAACAGCTCTCAACGGGTACCTACCTGGAAGCTAATAGAAGAAAAGAAGGAGAGGATGATAGAAGAGAAGATGACTCAATGCAAAGATGAGCAACAGAAGAAGAAGAAGCTTAATTCGATGTACACTGCACTGAATAAAGAAGTGAAGAAGAATGCTGGGAAAGACACAAGACAATTCTACGGTACACTGGCTGGCAAATGAAGCAGAAGAGGCAGACTAGTAGTAAAAGAGACCTCAGGACATCATATCAGGTTAACAGGTCCCTATCCGGGAAGAGATCAACTCAGATGATGAAATCAATAAAAGATGTTCAAGGAACCTAATTACCAACGAGGAGAAAAAAATAAAACAGTGAGCTGGTCACTTTCAAGGACTTTTGAATCGACCATAACCTGCAATTCACCCAGAAATACACTACCACCAACAGCACGCACAGAACTGCCTGCCAGTTGACACCAGTCCTCCAACGAAAGCAGAAATCCTTAATGCGGTCAAGCTACTGTAGTCCAGTCGGGAAGGCAGCAGGGCCAGACGAAATCCAACCCCGGAAACACTGAAAACGGCCCCAGAGATTGCCGCAGATGTGCTCACGCCATTAGTGTAAAGGGTTTGGAAAGAAGGAAGAAAGCCTGGTTATCTCGTCAAGCTGCCAAAGAAGAGTGACTCAGGCCTGTGCAAGAACTGGCGCAGAATCATGCTTTTGACCACTCCAAATAAAATACTAAGTCGCAATCATCCTGGAGAGAATAAAAGATACATTGGATACGGAACTCCGCCAACCGGAACAAGCTCGATTCAAGAAAGGCAAATCATGTGCTGATCGAATCGTAACTGTATGCATCATCAAAAAACAAAGCACAGAATAGCAGTCAATCCTCTACCTCAATTTCATCGACTGTGTAAACACCTTCGATAGACAGTTTTGACCGAGAATTAATTTAGAAACTGCTTAAAAACTATGGCACGCAGTGTCCAAATCTTTATCAAACTCATTCAGCAACTGGCTATATGACAGTGCCACGTGTCAGGTGGTCGGCAACGGAAAACTCAGTCTGGCGTTCAAAGTTAATACAAGAGTAAGACAAGGCTGCCTGACTATTATCACCCATGATGATACTCTTAATTGTGGTGGACTGGATTATGCATCAGACTGTGCGTTTGCAGCGAGGAGACAAGAATAGGCTGGGCCACCTATAAGAAGACTCTAGAAGATTTGGATTTCGTATATGACTTATGTCTAATGTTACATAAACTCGAAGACTTACAGGAGACAAGCAACAAACTGTCTGAAGAAGCAGACAGTGAAGACAGGACTGTAGGTGAAGACAGAAAAGACGGAGGTGATGAAGATAACCGACCAAAGGACAGCAACAACAACCAGAACCGTCACCATCAACAGGAGATATTTGACAGAGGTCACTTCCTTTACTTATCTAGGAGACATTGTTACAACCACAGGTGAAACTGATGAAGATATCAAAACCAGCCAGAATCGGAAAGTCAAGACACCCTTCATCCACCTGAAACCAGTTTGTAAATCCTCTGCACTGACTCAACATAAAGAACAAGATTCAGATTTTCAACACAAATGCAAAGTCAGTCAGTCAGTGCTTCTGTACGAGTCAGAAACTTGAACTACTTTCATCAACAACTACCTTCGTTCCATACTGAAGATCAAATGGCCAGCCAGAAAGAACTAGCAACAAGAAACTCTAGGAAGAAACCAACCAAGAGCCAATTACTCAACAAATATATAGGAGAAAATGGAGATGGATCGGGCATACATTGAGGAAGCCGTCGAATCACATCGCGTGCAATACAGGCCATGGCTTCAGTGGAATCCCGATGGGAAGCAACGAGTTGGTCATTGATGCAAGGGTAACATGGAGGAGGTCGTGCGAGGAGCAGATGAGAGATTACGGGAATCGTAGATCCAGCTGAAGAGAACAGCACCAAATAAACCAAAGTGGAAATGTATTGTTGAAGCCGTATGTCCCACTCGAAACAGAAGGGAATAATAATAAGGATACCAAAATTCACTCAGGATAATCCATTAAAACTCCCTGTATGACGGCGATTCTGTGCTATAGTACTTAGCAACCATATACGTGGTCCGCGAATCGATCCCCAGACGACGCACTCCAAAACCCCACTAAGTCAATAGTAAGCCTGTTAAAGAGGGAGGGTTGAGTGTGCGGCTAGCAGCTCCATCCCATAAAAAGTAAAACCAATGCTACCGAAACTTCCAAAATCTAGCTTGAAGTGAATCTATATTCCACTTGGAATGTAAAGGAATAAATTAAAATAATTATTCATTAAAACTCCTATTCACATTTCCCACCTAAGACTTTCACCAAAAGATCTGTAATCTATTCCTCAGTGTAGTCGACTGTTACCAACCGGGTGAACCAGCTGCGGCGATGGATGTGTGATCCTTGGAGGTAAATGCCTTAAGCCTATTTTTTTCTTCTTCTATTCAAACATTCAGCTTACAAACTCGGTACAGTTTGTTTTCCTTTGACCAGTAAAATGAAAGTTAGATTTTGGTTATAAAATGCAGTCTTTATTTCTCTCGCTTTGATTCAGTCCCATCAGTTAAGCCAAGTACTTACACACAAATTTAATGTTCAAATGATTCCCTATTTCTGTTGAGTTCTTAGTGAAACTTACATCAGCATGTGGAAAACATCTGCTGTCTATTATATAAATTTAGAAGCTGTGACTACAACTCGCGAAAAGCATTTATTATTACTTCACTGAAACAATAAACGAGTTTATAAAAATACATTAAGTGCTTCAAAGTAAAGCTCCATACCAAGTCAATTCTGTGCAGATCTGTGAAACACCAACTAGTTTGGTTTATTTTAACGAAACTTACACTTCATCTATAGAAGCCTAATCACAGATAGTATTTAGTCTCTGAAATAAATTCCTTCTTTTCAATGATGTCTTCCCAACTCATCATTCATAAAGAAATAAAAACTAAATGGAGTTACGTCGCCCATTAATTGGTTAGTCAAGACGGCCTTCGGCCAGTGCATATCAACATACGAATTCTGTAGTCTTAGATTACAAACACGGTGAAATGTTTCCCTGAAACAAGTACAGTTTCTGTTTGTTAACATCCTATCGCTTGTTATTCTTCATACTCTTCGTTGTATTTCATGGTATGAAAATCAAGAACATTTATCGATCGATCTCAGGCAGGTCGCAAACCGATTCAGCACTGCACAGTTAAGTGCCTCTATTCTTAATCAGCCTCATTCAAAAGCTGTATGACAAGGCTGAATGTCAAGCGGTTCACAAACACAAGTTATTTGAAGACATTACAGTGAAAACAGCAGTAATATTAGTCTGCTTCCTAATGTCAGCGAAGATATTACCAGGTGTACTGGAATGGAGCAAGTGAAAAGCGATGGAGAAATAAAAGGCAAACGCAAGTCGGATCATTACGAAGACTCAAAATGGTTTGAAATATACGGAGGCAGAGGCATTGGCAATTCGTCAATACAACCCCGGTCTCTGTATACAGAAAACGTTTGTTCAGTCTCTCATTCAACCATGGTATTCACCTGTTCACTAGTCGTTCCCTGTAGATTTTTTAATTTTAATTTTAGTTTGCTTTTTTACTTTAAAAATCAATTCCCTGTTATCACTGTCATATGTTCCGTCTGTACATTTTTCCCTTCTTCACAATTGTCAATAAATTGACACTCAACTACCTTGTTTCTCACTCAATGATAAATTTAACCTTATCGAAATTCTAACCGTTTCTTCCTTTGTTCCGTTGAGTACTACGTAGTTTATAGCCTTTATTTTCACTTCTAAAGCCACTTCTCAGTAATTATTTCAATTATGTCATCCCATTTCATTAGTCATTAATGGACTACTATACATTTTTGGTGAATATAAATACGGATGCATATCCTCTGAAGATGCTTTCGTCGATAAAGGAAATTTCTCTCATTGAATTGTCTTTCATATTCTTCATGACTCAGTGGATATTTTCGGTGATGTACTATTAACAAGAAAAGACCGATAAGGCTCGAAGGTAACGCTTATTAGGACGAACGCATTGTAGGTGTATAAATTTGGTTTACCTTATCTATAATTCTTTATTTGCACATCATTCACCAACTGGTCGAATATCGCCACAATCGATACCTAGTCGAATTTTGCACAGTGTTGTAACGTACTCCTTGAAGTTCTCTACTTCGATCAAACTTTCCAGTGCCCAAAACATATTGTTAATTTTCTGAATATGTTTGCTCATATGCTACTTATATCTGCCGATAAGTAACACTCGCCAATATGTATAAATAGATATTTATACATCTGGAAGGACACTAGAAGGTTTGGACTTTAC